TCATACATCGTCACCACAAACTTTTCCAGGGTCTCCATATCATCATCATCAACTTTTGGTGGGTACTGGCTAAGTTTTGTAAAGACATCAGAAGCTTCGGGACATACATTCCAGGTTTCTAGATATCTCTAGCACTCTGTCGTACGAAATGCTGACACCATGCTCATAAAGCATTGCTGACAACTCTGTGTCCTACTTTGTTTTGTATGGTTGGGAGGACTCCCAGCTGTGCATCAAAAGTCTTTGTATAAAGCATTTCAACTAGTGTCCTCTTTCTGGTTTTGGCATACACAGACGTCCCCATGTAGACAGGGAATGGTGTTTCCCGATCTTTTGAGTGTCTGTGAGTTGCTGCTCCTTCTTTGTATCCTGCATAGCAGTTGTACTGCAACAGTTGTGCAATTGTCAGGTCTGTCTTTGAGGCACCAAATCTCAGTTGAGATTTGATATCAGCCCCATGTTCAACCATTCCCACGAACTGAAGAAGGCTGGTTGGTATGGCGTCTTCAATGCACCCCTCATTGAATGTTCCATTAAATACAGACTTGTGGTCTAGCATGTTTCTTCTCAAGATCTTGGCTGCTTTAGCAAGAGTCATGGCTTCAGAATAGTCAGAGGCTTGTGACAAGACCAAGCCCACATCGTTACAGAAAGCCAGTAAGATATCCCTTCCTTTCCTTTGAGATTCCAACTCAGGAATTTCTGCCAACAGCTTGTCCTTCAGTCTGGTAGAGTTGACATCAGGTGACTCAAGTCCCAGCTGTTGTAGCCGCTGCTTGTATAGGCTAACCAGGTCTGCAAGTCTGAAGATAGAAGGACCTTCAGAGCTCGATTTAGTCTCCATTATGTAGGTCACCAGTTCTGAGAATGCCAATGGATAGGCTTGTTGTTCAACGCTCTGGCACTGCTTCTGCTTCTCAATGTTCCTCAGGTGGTCTCTCTCTCGGTTGTACAGGCCTGTTAGACACATAGAGTGGTACTTGAGTTCCTGTGCTATAACATCACCACCACTAAGAACTGCCAGAAGCCTTCCATCATTTAGATTTTTGGCACAGTCATGTAGTCTTTTATTGAGCTTCATTGTCATGGCCTTTCTCAGTTCAGATTCCGGTTCTTCTCTTTCACATATGAAGCACTCGGACTCTCGACCTTCACGACTGGTTCGTCGCTGCTTAGTTCGCCCTTCACCTGACTCTGTACTCTGAGCAGCAGCCTTTCTTTTTCGTGCCCTCTTCAGTTTGGTGTTGTTGAACATAACACGGCAGCTCTGGTGATAGTTTGCCTTGTTCTTTCTCAGTGTTTGTTCAATGCCTTCACCCTCATCCAGTCTCGCTGGATCCAGAACAATCGGCATTTCATGGAGGGCATGGAAGAGGGGGATATTTGTTGCAATCATGGTGTATAACGTGTCGGTGGAGATATCAGATCATCGTCATCCTTGTCCTCTTGACATAGGCAGCATTTGCTCCAATCAGTTTGCCATTTTGATGACCCTGGTGCTAAACTTGCCATGTTGGATATGGTAAGGCCGAGGGTTTATCCTTTTACCGCCTTAATACCACAATATGAAGATGCACATTCAGGTATGGGATACAACTAGGTTCGGACATGATCACCTACACCTAGCCCGATCGTTCATCCAGTGCCATTTAAGTCCCGTGCGATCTGTACACCTTCCGGGTAACTACATACAGTTATGTAAAGCCCCGTTACCCTTGGCTCGGCTCTCCCGCGCTGGCACACCCTGTCAATTCAGGTGCGGCTATCTAACAACAAGTGGGGCTTAAATTAGATAGCATTTGGGACACTTATAATACAAGAGACAATACTACAAATAGAAGTTATGTATTATTTAGCCGGCACTGAACCCCATGCTGAGTACCACAGCAGTGCAATGTCACCAGTGTGCCCTGGTTGTGCCTTGACATGCACTCTTTTATTCCCTCTCTCCCCTTCCCGGTGAATATGTGTTACTTTCTTCTTCCTCGGTGATATTTGTTTCTTCTGTAGTCCTTGGTGGAGGTGCAGTTCTCATCATCAATGGAGGTGTTCCACATTGGCCAACCATGGATAAGTTCTTGTGTTGAATTCTTGGGTCATAGGTAAGTGTTAGGTAAGCAGTGAGGACCAGTGCCAGGAGTTCTTCCATGGTTAAGGATGTGGCTGACTGCTGAAACAAAGGTACTACCTCTTCTACTACACCCTACACCCCAAACACTATATACATAGACCTACCACGCTACTATACCATTATGTAGGTTGACCACAGCTCTGTAATTTTGATCCGAAGTCCCAAAATAAGGTAAAACGAAGGTATTTAGTGATTCAGAAATTCATAAATCAGATTCTGCATGGTATAAAATGTATGATTTGGCACCAGAATCTTCCATATTGGCAAAGTATGTGCATATTTATTGCAAAAAAGTAAGATTTCGGTATTGATTATGGCCGCCATCTTGAAAAAATGGCAGCCATCTTGAATTTCAGATGGCCAGCGTATTTTTTCAAACAAGTAACCCACAATGAGTATTTGTGCCAAGTTTGGTGCTTGTATCACATTTTGAACGATTCACCTGAAAAAAGTCATTTATCTGCTGCACTAATTCAGGACCTTTTTGTTAAGGAGAAGATGTTTAAATATTGACATATTTGATACTTGTGACATTGAAAGTGGGTCAAGGTCAACAGTATGAACATATTTGGTAGCCTTTCATGCCACCAAACTACAGGCCAAATATCAGCACTCTTGGTTCTTTGGTTATTGAGAAGTCAGCTAAAGATTTTGACTTATCTGTGACCTTGAAAGTAGGTCAAGGTAATTCATTGTAACATTTTGTGATCCTTCATACTAGCATGCTACAGGCTGAATATCAGCACTCTGGGCCTTTTGATTATTGAAAAAATGCAGTTTAAAGATTTCAACAAAATTGAAACCTGTGACCTTGAAAGTGGGTCAAGGTCATTCATTTTGGCAACTAAGTAGTCATTTATCCAAGAGTGCTATGGGCCCAATATCAGCACTTCCTGCCATTTGGTTTTAAGAAGTTGAAAATGTGAATTGTTTATGCCAGACAAAAAGCAATTGCAATCGGCCACTTGAAACTTCATCTCAGGTGACCTAGAAATTCTCCTGATCAAATCTGATGATGAAATTCTGTCATTCCAGAGAAAGCAGTATTTAAAAGATGTTATTCTATTTCCACTATTGGACTACACCCTCTCACCAAAGGGGCCCTTCCCCCACCCCACCAAGACCCACAGCTTCTACAAAATTGATCACCCAAGGATGCAGACAGCCCCAAAGATAAAGAATTTTAAAAATATTTTTTCTATATTACGAAATTGATTTTCCTTCCAACAAGGATGATTCAGACCAAATTTGAGTAAAATCCAATCATCCCTTCAGAAATCCTTCTTTCTTACAATTTGTTACTAACCTCTCACTGAGGTCTTCCTTTTAAAGGGAAGTTGTAGACAAAACAAAATTTATACTGGAGACCTGGTGAGCAACAAACTATTCTATGAAGAAAGTTACGACATATATAGTTATCATGTAAGCAAGTATAACAAGATGTACTGCAGAAAGAAAGGTGATCAAAACACTCCTCTTCTGAGTCAGCGATGTAGAATGTTACCTTTCTACATTGATGGTAAAATTAGGCCATAAACTTCAAATGTTACTTTTCGATTTAAACATGTTTTGAGGTGTTAACAGCAAAACAAATCTGATCTTCATTAACAGCTTTTCACCAACTTTTTACTCCAATGGACAGCATGTCTCTATCACTAGTCCCAACACTTTGAAAATAACGATCATCTGTACTAATTACTAGTGAGACTGATTTTCGTGAAGATATTTCAAGACAATTCTAACAAAACTACTTTCTCAATTCTTACTTCGTTGAGTGTAGATATATAAGTTTATCTGTCCAGTTCAGAACTGCAGTCAATATCTGGAAAACAGTGTACACTAAAAATACTCCCAAGAGATGTCAAAACAGGGTTCATATTACTGATGCTGTATTTGACTCATCAGCCATTTTGTATTTCAGATCAGTCCAAAAAACATACTGGCACAACTATGAAATACACACATATGAAATTTGTGGAAGATGTATTCAAGATTTCTAACAGAGTAATGATAAACTTTTGTATTCAAAATACAAGATGGCCATCTCTCAGCCATTAAGTTCTGAACAGGAATGAAGGGAAACCTACCTATGAAATTTGAGAAAGATCCATGTAATTATAAATAACAAGAATTATTTACACAGATTAGAGAGAACAGACCATTTGAAAATCCTGCCATCTCATTGCATGATGGTGGGTTCAAAAATTTCAATGTGGCAACCGATCAATAAAATAACTTGATAAATTTTCCATTGTTTGATAATCAGAGCAGTTGAAACTGATGTCCTCAGTTGCCAAGGGATGCTGGTTTATACAATCTTACTGTAGTTAATCCTAGATCTTATAATATCTGCACCTGAAACCATGATAGCAAATTTGAATCCATCATGAAATTAGGTCTCAAGAAATATACGGGACAGTGTTTAAAGTTAGATTCGTTCATAATCAAATGTGTATATTATACATAACGGGCTGTGGTCACTATATACAGGCCACAGGTAATCTGTCATTGTGTAGTCTCCCAGAAGGCTATAAAGTGTGTGGCCTTCACTTGTATTACGTTACCCTAGACTATGTTGCATAGTTAACAAATGTAAATGATCTTTAAATGTCTAGCTTGCTAAGAAATCCTTTGCTATCAATTAAAATTATCAAGAAAACAGCAGTTTTTCAATATTTGTGTATTAACTGTCCACAAGGAGTTCCAACCTAATTCTTGTTTTGTTCAAGATTTGTAATTTGTATTCACAAAGATCCCAACATGATCCCTTTCACCCTTTTGAAAAGGATATATAGTAAATGTAGAAATTGGATAGACTTAAATACAATACACTCATACTGTGATGAAGATAAAACCACAAAAACATTGATTACTTGTACAGGCTTTTAATGGACGCTCCATCACAGAAAACCAATAACGTAGTCTATTTCTTAGGCTTATTAGCCTCTTCTTCTGCCTTCTGCTTGGCTTTCTTTTCTCTGAAGCCCTTCAGCTTCTGATTAGCACGAGCTTTTCGCAGGGCAGTAAATACACTGTGTTTCTTCTCCTCAGCTGTGATGGCCCTAGCCTTCTCGGACTTAGCAACTCGTCTCACTGGCATAATCACAGAGCTTGACAACTGTTTGGCCATCTTCATTTCTTCAGCCTGAAATTTTAGAATTTTACATTTATTAATATGATCAGATTCCGCCTAGGCATGCATAAAGGACCTTACGAGTTTTCATTTCAAATCAAATTTATGAAAAAGATTTTATTTTTGGGAGACAAGTTTCATAACATCACATAGGAAATTTATGATACTTAATCTAACACAAAAAATTGATCTCTTGACTTGTTTTAAGTCAAAATGTGGGTGACAAAATTAAACAGAGGCAGCCATGTTCAATCATTAGGTCACTGTTTGTATTGCAACAACACAACTGATTTTTGACTACAGCCTATGAAAAACATTTCCGGGTATATTTCACTAATGACATTTGCTAAAAAGAAAAAATTATTTAAATGAAATTTCGGTTGTAGTTTGGGGGATGCAACATCTATCTATCCACTCTTCCAGCAAATATATCGGTGTAAGAACCTTTTTAAAATTCATGTGAAAATAAAGTGAAATGGTCGACTTTACGCTGATACTGGTCTGAGCAGACTTTCAGGTTAGACTGATCAGTTTCAGTTTGTTTGGGGTTTACTGATGTAATAGAGGTCATTATTTACTTTGATGCCTCTGCAAGCATTCGAACTTAGGACCTCTCTGGGAAATAATGCACCAGTTTCCTGAGGTAACAGCAATGGGAAAGAAACACCTGATTATTCCTAATTGGGTGCCAGTGTAACAGATATCATTCTTTGCCTCTATGCCTTCAACTGGATTTAAATCTGGCACCTCTGTAATAATAGTCTTGCACTAAGCCAATCCAGTCTAAGCAAAAACAAACCTCTAGTCAAGTGGTATATGTGGCTATCCTTTCACAGAGTTATTACACTCAAATGTGACCTTTGACCATTTAACCTTGACTGATAACTATCTTAGTATAGAGTGTTTAACTTCATGTGATGATATTAAGAACAAAATCTGTTCAGAGGTCCTCAAGATACAACATTTATTCAAAAACAGACAAATAAGGGTACCAACCTGCTTCCACTAAACCAAAACATCAAGCTTGTGCTCTTTACCATTGACAGTAATGATACTATAGCCATACAAAGACTGCTATCCCAATATTGTTTTTACCACAACATGTATTGAACAGTAGTACCACATCTTAAAACCATAACATCTATTTATCATATTTAATAACAAGAGAAACAAACTACATTTCTTTAAAACAGATGAAAACTCACAGTAGCATCACCCTTCCTGGGTTTGCTCTGCTTCTTGGGGAAAAGGATGAGTTTGCTTCTGTATTCTTTCAGTCTCTGAACATTCTGTTGGAGCGACTCAACAGATTTGTTCCTCCTCCTGTAGTCAACAGCAATACCAATAGTCAGTGCCAGCTTCTTGTTGATACCAGCTTGCTGTATTAACAAATAAAGGCCATATGTAAATAAGTTATTTTTACTGACACATTTAGGTGTTTTGGAAATGCTTACCAAACATTAGAAAATCCTATTTCATACTTAACTTTAATTTAAAGAGGTTCTTGTTTTCGTAATATATGAAATTGGCACTGTACATGTTATAATGTTTTTAAGTCATGTAGGATTTCAGGTCAGTTTGCATTAAAATGGTACACAGTTCAATATTGCTATCAGGACTGGCTTCTTGATGTTGTCAGTAGGAAATGTGCCCCTAGGTAGTTGATATGATTATGATTTCATCCCTATGGTACAATCAGTAAGTAAGCAAGTCAAAAGTATTTCATAATCCTACTCAGTAAAGTTAAGCTTAAAGGCCTATATTTCTTCAGCTCAGTCAGTATGAAATTGTGCTATAATATTTTATATGGTCTTTTTCAATTCATCATGACTGAATTATGGCAATTTAATAGCAATCTGATTTCAATTGCAAACAAGACTACTATCTAAATTTAATCACCTTTAAATCCAATTAATGAAAACTGTTTCAAAAGACTTGCCTTCAGTTCGTCCAGGGTGAAACCCTTTCCAACTCGCTGCTTCGTGTTGTACTTAAATGTTGGGCATCTAACAATTGGTCTAAGACATCCTGCAACTGGACGAGGAGCAATTGTGCGAGCTTTCTTGACACGTGTTTGATGCCTTCTCTTCTTTCTCATGGGCTGGTTGAACCATGTTTTTACGAAACGCTGCCAATCTTTGTGGAAGTGCCCATTTGGCACCACATTTGCTCTCTTTGGGGCCATGGCTACAACCAAATTTCATTCTGATTACTAAAGCATGATGATTTTGTTTATAAGTAAAACAGTGGTAAAATTTACTCACAATTGTCCTGAAATATATGGTCCTTTTTCTTGGGACAACAACTTACCAAATGTTCTATGCGTGAAATATAATTATTATACTACTAAAACTGCATGGAATAGGGATATTTTATATATATATATATATAACCAATGTCATTAGAGCAGGTCAAGTAGAGTATCACAAACTAACTGTCTGTTGTTTATTTATATTGTATAATCATTGCATCTTCTTAGTCTTGTGAAAACTATTGGGAATTAAAATATTCTTATGGCTAGAACGTCAGACATCTTAAGTGTTTGTATTTGTCATTATCCGTGTCAGCTCCTTAAAAAAATTTAGCAACCCTTTAATCGTAACGAGGATAATTGAAGAGACAACCTCCCCACTCTACAAAATTAGCATTTACACAATCAGAATTTTTGCAGACGTTACTGTCAACATTAACGATCGACGATAGAGTAGCTTCTCTCGATTTACGTTCCACAATCTATATCTCGTCCTCCCTTAAATTGTCACACGAAAGCAATATGTTATCGTATTAACCTACAGATTAAAAAATATTAGCTTGGTACTTCGGTTTAACAACGTGAACAGAGTCGTATAACTTTTATTTACAACATCGAAGCATGAGCAACACGGTAAATTGGCTGCATTCGCGTACGATAATAAGCATAATCTGCAGATATAAATAAAAAATATCCAACTAAGGATGTGAATGGAATATCTGTTAACTCGTTTCGATCTTTTACTGTGTAAAATTAGCAGAGATTGGCAGTATACAATAGGATTTATTTCGGGCGTTTAACTGTAACGTACCGTCACAGAATGGCCGATATTGAAAAGGAAGTACAAAAGAGTTCCAACGGAAATCAACACTGCACAGCAGCGCCGCCAATGTTTATATCGCCAGGTGATGTTTGAAGAGGTAAGACTAAGTTTTCGTTTAACTTTGCCGTCGTTTTGGATAAATTCTCAGGTGTACTAACATGCTTTCTCATGACAAAAATGTGTCTGTCCGTGCGGTGTTTATTTCAACTATTTCTCAACTGAATAGACACTTGCGTCGTCTGCTAAAGTTCTAACATGTTGCTCTCGCGAACGTAGGGACGTGCAACTGAAGATTTCTATTTAGTATATGACGACAGTAGAAGGTAATCACTGGTCACCTTTGATAGCTTATTCTGTTACAGCCACCGAGAAAGTTATCCATTTATAAGAAATATCCGTGGAAATATGTTTTACTTGTTTTAAATTTCATTACCTGACGTGACCATTATATTGTGGAATGTTGTTTGTGAATTCGCAAGCACCTGTGTGTATGAGACCACAGGGCTGGCAATGTGTACACTGTGTATGGTCTACCTTTATTACTTTCCAAATCATGTCAGTAGCAATAAATCAGTTGAAACTACAAATATATACACATCAGTATACCTTCCTTATGCATATTGTATAGTAGATGAACACAAGTAGATAAAGGAAGTGACAAACTGTGTGTATCCTGTTAATGCATTGCATGGATCTTATCATTTCAAAAAGTGTATTGTGTGAACTCCTGCAAATGTAAGTACATGTACTGAAAAGGGTCCTGGTTTGTGTACTGTATATATAATTATTCTTTATTAATTGCATATAATATCACAGACTTAGAAACTGATAATTTAAAAGTTGAGAGTACAGGTTGCCTTACTAGCTGTGACCAGTGGGAATATCCCATTAGCCAAGCAATAGAATGTTCAGCTTGAGATCAAAGTGTCGCTAGTTCCACAGGGATTAGCATGGCTGGTTCAAATCCATTCAATGCATTTTGCTGTCTTATGCAGATTTCAACTTGATTATTTTAAACTACATGTCAGTTTCTTAACAGTCAAACATGTAAGTGTTTCAAAAGATAACCAAATGATAATCAACAGACTTTTCAATGTCCCAAACAGGTCACTGTCTTAGCTGATTGTTAGTTTTCTGTCTGTATTGTTGCTATCACGTTTTCAAACACTTTGTCCAGGTTTTGCAAGATCTCTGATAGTTTGCATTAATATATACAGTAATGATCTTATTACTATTTTTGTTCATAAATAAATGGTCAAATCCAATGATGGTGGCCTCACACCATTGATTATTCTATGGAAAAAAACCCTTGAAAACCTATAGCTAGGTAATATGCACACCCCAAACTTTGGACATTTGTTTTCTAAAAAAAAACTTTGCACATTATGTAGGTTTTTACAGTAAAGTGAATTATTCATTATTGGCAGAGACATGTATCAAGTAAAACTACCTTTTTTTACGCTGATCTGTTTCTATACCCCACCCCAACAATGTTCACTGACATCATAATGGTTGTGCCTTGATGATCATGCCCTGATGGACATGCCCTGGCCCATGTATCATTTACAGTACCTTGAAGTACACTTCTTTCTGATTAATTTATGTAGTGATATTGTAAGCAATCATACAGACCCAGTGAACCTCTTGTGAAAAACTCGATATTGGAAGTTTTAGAATTATTCCACTTTGATGTGAAACACATTGCAAAGAGCATTTTGTTTGAAGATAATGTATGTTAAGATGATCGATATTCAATAGGATTAAGTCACTTTGATACTTAGCAGCTGTGAGGCATCTACAACTTTATTCTTAAGTACAGTTCACACTGTATAAGAGACTAGTGTTATGCACGGTAACCTTATAGAGCTGTCTAAAAATCACAGTATACACCAAAGTGGGTAAATATCATAGATATTTGTAAATATCATAGATATTTTCACATATCTAGCTTTGTTGATTGATGCAGCTTATTTACAATACATCAGAATGACTTTGTTAATTCATTATTAGCGTATAAACATTTAATATAGTCAACATTTTTTTGTGATTGATGTTTAGTTTTGATGTATGAATCATTTTGTCTGTTAACCTATCATATACCTTCATGTACTCAACAGAATAGAAGTATGACTAGATATTACCTACAATCTTTATTTGAAATTGAAACAATATCATCTGTTGCCATTTTGTTTTATCTCATCCATTCTTCTGATACTATGTTTTGGATAGAATAGAAAAAACTGATGAAAATTTTATTGTGAAATAGTGGATGGTGGACAGTGATATAAGGAAATAATGCTAGTATCTAAAAAAAATATCATTACATTGCACATGAAGGAGGTTATCTAGCCATCTGGAGCATGCAGGTTGTAAGTCATAAGATTGACAAATTCCAGACTTCTAGTAATCATTAACCACAATGCAATGATTGAACCATCCAAACATGGAAGACATGCAATTCCAGAGGAAGGAAATAGGAAAAACAATCGACAGCTGAGAAGATTTCTCTTTAATATTATACCTGTATCCCTGGTTATTAGGTCATCTCGATGTTTTCTAACATTTTTGTTCAGGTTCCACCTGGCCCCATGTGTCAGTTTGATTTGAGGCTTACTGAGAAATAAAAAATGACTAACAGAGCTACCAGATTTTGAGCATGGATGTTGGATCTCTTTCTTCTCATGTAGCCTTTGAGACTAATTTGAGATGGAATAGAAAAACAAAATGGCATACAGACAGTCATCTTGGATTTTGAAAGTTCAGAGTTCGTTATTGCTTTTTCTTGATGGTATTTAGTATAGCTTTTGTCAAATTAGTTAAAATACAAAACACTGTTTTTGTTTTTGACAGACAACTTGATTATGAAGTGAAGACTGAAGATATCAAACAACTTCAATATGAACAACAATGAAATAACAATAATCCATTTCAATGATGTATATAACATTGAACCTCAGAAGGATGAGCCCCGAGGAGGAGCAGCAAGGCTGGCGGCTTATGTACGGCAGTGTGAAGCACAGCATCTCAATCCCCTTGTCATATTTAGTGGAGATGTTTTGAACCCATCTCTTTGTAAGTTGTATTCATTGTATTATAAATATTATTTAACTATAACTGATAATTACACTTGTATTGGGTAGGATGATAGAAATGTATGTGTAGATATCTCATGATCCGTCCACAGTTTTGTTTATATTGTCACTCTATCACACCATCACATACTACACATGGTCAGATTTTGTGGTCTCTTTCTTGTCATTGTTTAAGGGTAAAAAATAGTACTTATAATCATTTGAAATAAGAAAAGCAGGGGTGAGGAATTAATGTTAATCTGCTTAGTTAATGTGTGCAATCAAAATCAATTAAGAAAGAGCAAAGTATGAATAAAAAGTTGATGCAGAGATCCTTGGTATTTCAATAGAACAGGAATCTTCTCCTTTATGGACAACACTTTCAACAACAGACATCTGTCATAATAATTTCTAGAATATACCATTATCAGGTAACTGAATCATTGGTTGTGAGAGTATAAATCTTACTATAAAGAAATGCAATATCCATTATTTAGCACAATTAAGTACAATTGCTGGAATGAACTGAATACAATCATACTTCTGAAAGTAATCTAGGGCCCCAGTTATCATTCAGGATTTATTCCTTGTTTATATGTCATGAACATTTTATCCCAAACATCTGTCATGGCAACAGATGAGACTGTCACTTTATGATTAATTATCACATATATAGATAACATTTGCACACAACTACAATTCTTAGATGATTTACACCTGGGGATGTAGGGAAGCAGATAGCCAAGCAAAACCTATGTTAATTCATATCTCTAATAAGCTGACTCTTAAGTGATTCCTTAGTCCTTGAAAATTTGTTGTACAACAATTATGGAAACATATAACTCTCTGTAGTGGTTAAGTTCAGAAAATTAAATAGAGAAATGTTGAGTAATCTTATCTTCATCCAAATGCTTTTGAGATCTCATACAAGAGACCTGATGCAATATTTATCTTAGATCTGGTAAGAGTGATGGTTAAGACAATGTGATAGGTATTTTTAACTCTCAAATGATTTATTTTTGCAGTAAGTATATTTATGAAAGGAGAACAGATGATTCCCATACTAAATGCTATAGGAGTCCACTGTGCAGTCTATGGCAATCATGACTTTGGTAAGAACTTTTCTTATTATTGATTGTGATGGTGTGAATTGTTTCTTTAATTAAAAAAATCCATGAAATTGCCTTGAAAAAATTACATTACTTATACTGATAATTGGTCTAAAACTCTCTAGCCAATTATAGTTTTCCCGTGTTGATAAAGTAAAGCTGTTAACGCTTTCTATTTTGATGTCCCTTATATCAATCTCTATTTGAAGTGACAGTGTTACTTTTAGATTTCGAGTAAAACTTAAACGAACATTGTAAAAAACAGCAAAATAATTACCGCGGTAATATTGTATCACTATTGTGTCCTATAGGAAATTTGGTAGACTCACTACAATGTATTAGATAAAGAAGGCACTTTCAACCCATTCAGATTTAAAATTTGATTGGTTTGTGCTTGTTTAGAGTGAATTACTTATAACATTAACAAATGCATGCTATTGTAAAAGTACATCACATTATATTTACTAAAAATAAATGAAGGAATGAATACTGTTTACTTCAAAATAACAATGTGAGAAACATTAAAACTCTGGAAACAACAAGACCTTTTACTGTATATATCTTGTGTAGTCAGAACTGAAGCAACAGTGTCTGGAAACAACAAGACCTTTTACTGTATATATCTTGTGTAGTCAGAACTGAAGCAACAGTGTCTGGAAACAACAAGACCTTTTACTGTATATATCTTGTGTAGTCAGAACTGAAGCAACAGCGTCTGGAAACAACAAGACCTTTTACTGTATATATCTTGTGTAGTCAGAACTGAAGCAACAGCGTCTGGAAACAACAAGACCTTTTACTGTATATATCTTGTGTAGTCAGAACTGAAGCAACAGCGTCTGGAAACAACAAGACCTTTTACTGTATATATCTTGTGTAGTCAGAACTGAAGCAACAGCGTCTGGAAACAACAAGACCTTTTACTGTATATATCTTGTGTAGTCAGAACTGAAGCAACAGTGTCTGGAAACAACAAGACCTTTTACTGTATATATCTTGTGTAGTCAGAACTGAAGCAACAGCGTCTGGAAACAACAAGACCTTTTACTGTATATATCTTGTGTAGTCAGAACTGAAGCAACAGCGTCTGGAAACAACAAGACCTTTTACTGTATATATCTTGTGTAGTCAGAACTGAAGCAACAGCGTCTGGAAACAACAAGACCTTTTACTGTATATATCTTGTGTAGTCAGAACTGAAGCAACAGCGTCTGGAAACAACAAGACCTTTTACTGTATATATCTTGTGTAGTCAGAACTGAAGCAACAGCGTCTGGAAACAACAAGACCTTTTACTGTATATATCTTGTGTAGTCAGAACTGAAGCAACAGCGTCTGGAAACAACAAGACCTTTTACTGTATATATCTTGTGTAGTCAGAACTGAAGCAACAGCGTCTGGAAACAACAAGACCTTTTACTGTATATATCTTGTGTAGTCAGAACTGAAGCAACAGTGTCTGGAAACAACAAGACCTTTTACTGTATATATCTTGTGTAGTCAGAACTGAAGCAACAGTGTCTGGAAACAACAAGACCTTTTACTGTATATATCTTGTGTAGTCAGAACTGAAGCAACAGTGTCTGGAAACAACAAGACCTTTTACTGTATATATCTTGTGTAGTCAGAACTGAAGCAACAGCGTCTGGAAACAACAAGACCTTTTACTGTATATATCTTGTGTAGTCAGAACTGAAGCAACAGTGTCTGGAAACAACAAGACCTTTTACTGTATATATCTTGTGTAGTCAGAACTGAAGCAACAGTGTCTGGAAACAACAAGACCTTTTACTGTATATATCTTGTGTAGTCAGAACTGAAGCAACAGTGTCTGGAAACAACAAGACCTTTTACTGTATATATCTTGTGTAGTCAGAACTGAAGCAACAGTGTCTGGAAACAACAAGACCTTTTACTGTATATATCTTGTGTAGTCAGAACTGAAGCAACAGTGTCTGGAAACAACAAGACCTTTTACTGTATATATCTTGTGTAGTCAGAACTGAAGCAACAGTGTCTGGAAACAACAAGACCTTTTACTGTATATATCTTGTGTAGTCAGAACTGAAGCAACAGTGTCTGGAAACAACAAGACCTTTTACTGTATATATCTTGTGTAGTCAGAACTGAAGCAACAGTGTCTGGAAACAACAAGACCTTTTACTGTATATATCTTGTGTAGTCAGAACTGAAGCAACAGTGTCTGGAAACAACAAGACCTTTTACTGTATATATCTTGTGTAGTCAGAACTGAAGCAACAGTGTCTGGAAACAACAAGACCTTTTACTGTATATATCTTGTGTAGTCAGAACTGAAGCAACAGTGTCTGGAAACAACAAAGTGTTTTACTACTTTTTGTGATCCTCAGAGATTTGTTATAAGTGAGGTTGACTTTATACAACTTGTTAGGTTATGTCTGATACAGAAATTGAAAACCGAACAATTTACAAGTGTGTGTGCATGGCATTGGAGGTTTTCTAAAGCCTGAAATTCTTTAATACTTTAATTTCTAAAATATGTTAACAAAATTATTGATAACACCCAGCTCTCCTCATAACAAAAGTAAGATAAAACATGGCATGTCTGCATAGCAGTTTGTGATCTATGTTTGAATGTTGCATTTTGTTTAAGATTTTGGAGTTGATCACTTAGAAAACTTTAGAAAACAGACTAATTTTCCATGGCTTATAAGCAATGTTACGGATAACCTCACGCAAAAGTCGCTGGCAGAAGGAAAAGTGACACACATGATGGCGTGGCAGGGATTTAAGGTAATATTAGGCTGATAGTACCATTTATATGTGTGATTCACTAGTACTAATATTATTACTGACAGTGGCTTGGAATTAACTACATAAACTTTTTCACTTTTAGGAATATTTATTTGATTAGAGAAGAAAATACTGCTTGCCAATTCTTTATCAAGTATCAAATTCTTTTTCTTCTTAATCTTAATCTCAGTGACAAAAATATAGCCGAGTGATTTATACCTATTACCTTGTAATTCTCTCTCCTTTTGAAGGAGGCACCTATTGGCTGGTTCTTTCTCTATTGACTCAGTGGTATTTGTGGTTGTGCCTTGTAAAAGGATTGTTTTGAATATACCAAATAGCTAGCTATTTTCCCCAATTGAAGTCTATGGATGTAAATCCCCATCCTTTTGTCATTGATTTCAGAAGGAGCACAAGGTCAGCTGATTCTTTCTATTTTAAATTTTACACTTTGATATCCATGTAATCAGTACAGACCTTCTAGGTCTCTTGTATACTTTAACAAAAAAAGGCAACTATCTGCAATGTCATTTTTTTATTTCTTCCAAATATGGGAGCACCTGAAAATGAGGCCAAATATAAAATGAAGTATGATTCACTCAGCTGTGTTTGTACACTGCCTGTTCTAGATTGGGTTTATTGGACTGGTAGAAGAGGAATGGATTGACACATTAGCTACACTGGATCCAGAGGATGTTACCTTTGAGAATTTTGTTGTGAGAGGAAAAGAGTTGGGAAATCTTCTAAAACAGCAGGTAGACTGTCTTTGATGTGTTATTGGTTTGTTTAGGAGTCGGACACTGTCGTAGCTACAACACAGATAGAGTGTAGCAATTATTACGGCAACATCATTTTTGTTTCAACACAGTATTCATAGTTCTGTCATGTCAGACTCCAAATCTCTGAATCTCAGTCTGTTATTGGTTTGTTTATATAGGGGGCTGACATCGTCATAGCGATGACACACATGAGGTGGCCAAATGATCGTCGCCTGGCAGAAGAATGTGATGTAATTGATTTGATCCTTGGAGGCCATGATCATGATTATGGTGTAGAAATGGTAAATAGCTTACAATATAAGACTTATATTTGATTATATGAAGCATCTGTTCGTTATATTAATAAATGGAACTGTTTGATGGATCTCATTGCTATAATAATTGAACATCTCCCATCAATTGCTTTTCTTTAATGAAAATAATTTTCCCCATTCCTTGTAATTTACTGTGTGTAACTTTCTTGAAATTTATAAATTTGCAATAAAACACATAATTAATATTTTGATTTGTGAGCATGTCTGATTTCAATGAAGTCATCTTACCTTGTCCTCCTTTTCGACATCCGTACCTAATTTGATATACATATTCAATTTCAGGAGATTATCACATATTCAGAAAAGATGTTTAATCGGATAAAAATCCTTTGGCATAATCTTATTGTTAAGTGGTGATGTGTGGTAGGATGAGAGTAGTGATGGTGTTCCACTTAACCATAGTTATATGTTACATGACAACACATTTCATTGAAGATTAATGGAAAGTATGTGGTGAAAAGTGGAACAGATTTTAGGAACCTGAGTAAGATCACAATGGGGAAGGATGAGTCTGGACTTCATCTGGATATCAAAAGGGTTGACCTTGACTCAAGTTGGGAGGAGAACGAAAAGGTCAAGGACATTGTCCAACAGTTGTTAGGTACAGTGTCTTGTGTTGTTTTAATCAAGTGATTAGAGAAAGCTATATTTGAGTTTATCTTCTCATTAACCCAATATTCTGTCTAGTATTTGAAACAAAAATGTTGTATGTGAATATATCCCTGTACTCCAGCTGCTGCAACATATGATGTAGGTGAAGATGGCTACAATGTAGAAAGAAATGATATGTAATACTCAATCTTCTTTGTTTAACAGAAGTGACAGAGGTTACAACATGGTAATCACACCAGATTTTCCTCTTTAAGAGATGTTTTGGTATATCTATAACAAGTGTGTTTGATATATGAAAATTGCTTGGTAAGTTCATGCTGGTGATAAAATACCTTTTGATGTTTTAGGACAAGTTGAGAGTAAGATGGATGAACATTTAGGGGAAATGGCTGTAGAAATGGATGGCAGATTTTCTGCTATACGTACCAGTGAAACTAACTTAGGTGTGTATTCATTATGATATTGATTTACCTGTGCTTTGTTGGAGGGCAGGTTTTTATGCTGAAACTGGTGAATACAACTTTCTCAGATTAATCTTTGGTTTAGATGTCCTCTACAGATTGTGGTGTTAGACTCTGTCATATATCTGGTTTCTGAATGTAAGTAACGACTTTGAGTATATGCATTGATTTTTCTAGGTAACTTAGTGACAGATGTCATGCTAGAGATCTCAAAAGCAGATGTGGCATTGTTGAACTCGGGAACTTTCCGTTCGGACAGAATACATGAGAAGGGAGAATTCAAACTGAGAGACTTACTTACTATTCTTCCTCTAGTGGATCCTCTAGTTGTGTTAAAAGTCACAGGTGAGAAATACAAATACATATGTAGTTTTGCTATTTCTTCCTTTTTTCCTTGTAAAAATATATATATACAGACTTAAGTACATGTTGTTATGAAATGATGGAATGGTTTCTGCATGAAATTTTTCTCTTGAATTTTGTTCCTAGTTTAAGTATGACGCTAAATACTCAATCAAGGAAAAACCAGAGTTGTTATATAAGCCTTGAAAGTAAATCTACAAAATAGAAAAGGAGACATTTGTTTGATATCTCTCTTTAAATAATTTAAGGAAAAGAGATACTGCAAGCTCTGGAGAATGGTGTTTCTCAGTATCCAAAGTTGGAAGGCAGGTTTCCCCAGGTATCTGGTATGTCCTATGGATTTGATCCTAGTAAGCCAAGTGGTAACAGAGTGGACCCAGCCCTGGTCAAAGTACAGGAGGATTATCTAATTCTTGACAAGGTAAAGTGAAACTAGTCTCCATATAGTTTAAGTGACTTACATTATCCTCAAAGGCTCAGGGATCTCTCATCCCTTTGGTAGCTCCTACTCTAGACTAGTTTATCATAACAATGGACTGTACCACATCACGCTATAGTGTCACAATCTTTTATTCCATTGGACCAGTATAACTACTAATTCACTATCACAAAAGTAACAAGGTATCATTAGGACAATCTAAACAGAGATACTAGTACTATTCTACAACTTTAGCTTGAGCTTGAGGCCTTGTCTCGCCATATTGTCCTGCTTTATTGCCTTGCTGCACCTGCCCATACCCAAATTAATATTGTTACCCTTTGTTGACACTTTATGAGGCAAAGTACCTGTTGAAAAATGTTTAGATTTTTCAGGAAACTTTTCATTGGATATTTATCGCATCCTTCTCCACCTGAAGTTTGAATTTTTATTTGGTCACTAATTAAATATGGCTGCCTGAAGTTATCTTCTTGTTTCTGTACTGTAATAGGTCCCTGCTTGGAATTCTAAGGAATGTTTATGTTTATATCTTAAGGAGCCATTTGTGTTAGGAACTATATCATTTAACAGTCTCTATGACATCTGTAGAACTCTTGTCTTTTAGGTTTATAGTTTGTGCACTAAAGAATACATTGCCTCGGGTAAAGATGGATATGAAGTTTTCAAGAATTGTGACATCCTTGTAAGTAATATTAGAGAACTTGTTCTTATATTTTGTTACAAAGCAACAACGAATAAATAAATTATTATATATGTAAAAAAATGTAATCTGATGAACTTTGGAATTTGAAAATAATCTGAAGCTGAGTTCAAAGTCATTGTTATTCCTTATATGATATGAAAACTGCTGAAATCAGCCAAGCTAAGATTTCTATCATTTACTCACCTTCTATGTGGCCAGAACATATAGCAAATATTTCATTTCAAGTCTGGTGTAGAGGATACTTAATCCTGTATCAGAAATCAATCATAAAATATCATTAGATATTCAATTAAAATGTAATGTGATAAATGAAAAATATATTGACTGTATTATGTCAATCTAATTCTAAATGTGAGGTATGCTTTTGTCAGAATTCCTTGTACCTAATCATGTAGATAGCATTTAAAACCTTGTGAAGGAATAAATATGATAAAGAAGACAAGACTGTCCTGTATATATTGTAAAATAACTATTGTCTATTTTAAGACTTATTCATTTATGGTACAATAACATGGTAAAATCAGGGTCATTTGTTTCAAATTAGATCTGTCAAATATTGTTTAATTGTGATTTTTAATCAAATTTCAGGATGTGTACACCATTTCATTGATTTCCTTTTTTGATCATTACATTGTTCATATTGCCAGGTGTCATCAGAACAGTGTTGCACTTTGAGTACCGCTGTACGTAATCATTTTGAGTCTATCCTCATTAAGCAGGGAATCAAATCTTGTAAGTCAGGACATAGACAAAGTCTCGTCAGTCTTGTGCGGTAAGTCTAGTTCGTGTAATGCCATAGAGATAAGAAATTTTGACAGAGAGTATTATGCTGTGACGTCGTCTGTCTCTCCTTACTTCTATAGCTCTCTTTTTTTGTCCTAAGAATCTCTTACATTTGTCAGTCAAGCACTTTGAGGCATGGTAAACTTAATGTCTTGAAATTGTTCTTTCTTGAATGGTACTTTGTTTCCACAAATACTGAAGAAGAGTTACTTTGTAAGATTGTTTCAATTAGGCATAGGAAATTTTCTTCCGGAGGACGTAATTTGACGCGTTACATATACATGAACATATTTCACTTTGACATAGGTTAGGTATATAAATGGCCTTGAAGAACAGTCTTTGTTGTGATACTGCAGGAAAAAGAGCCTGGTTCTGCAGAAGAGCAAGTCACTTGAGTGTTCCAACTTAACTAACCGCCTGGTGCGCCAGGTTAGCGTGCATGAGGTTGAGACGGAGCAGTGTCAACTAGCCCCAAGAGTTGAGAGACGCATTTTTACCTATGATGATGAGGTAAATTTATAGACTAATTCAACATGTATAGTGAAATATTTTAAACGAAAAAAATCTTAAGACATGGATATGACTTCATTGTACCACTGCAAGACTATTTCATCTTCCTAGTATTTTCTAGATTGTTCCAAATTATTTTGATTTGAAATGTATAATTTTTTGTTGATATATCCGGGATCCTCTTTTATTGTGAATTGTTATACTTGGATTCTGCATGGTTTTAAAACTTTCTTCCAAACTGAATTTCAACACCAATTTGTACAGCTATCTTGTCGAATAAGGCAGTATGTAGAAATACTCCTTTGACTGTTGTATGAATTCCATATTTGTGATCTGTTTCATTGATCCATCAAAATTTACCAGGTGTAGTGTGAATCATGACAATGCCCAAAACTTGCTTATTGGAGCAAAAAGAAAAATAATGATAGTTTTCTTCTTTTTCCATACCAAAACTTCACAATGTTTTTTTGCGACCAAACAGATTTTTGCCAAACATGTCAGGTGGTTAGAAACAGTTTGGCATATTCTGCTACTGGTTTAAGTTGAAATGTAGTATGAATTAAATCCTTTAGTATCTCTCACAGAAAGAAAGAAAAATGTAGTGGGTGAAACAAATATAATGAAAGAATACTGTATTTAACTGGAAATGAGCTTAGAGGACATGACAGTCAAGTAATTGATATGGATGTTAGTGTTATTAGGGTCCTGCCATTTAGTGATCACACTGTCCATGCTTCTGTCCAGAATACATTCATGTGTTCTTCATAACAAGTCATAGTAGAGGGATGACTCTTTGTATGGTAGGCAACCACTGTAAGAAGGTTGTCTCCAAATTCTTGTTTGTACTTTAAAGGTCAAGTTCGCAAAATAAGGTATCAGAAAATCTGAAATCCAAAATCTAAAAAGTATATTGATAAGGCCTACACAATTTATTGTTGTGACCCCAACAAATTCAGGTATCCATACATACCCGTAATTCTCTTGAATTTCCCTGTTCCAGATTATTTTAGTACTCAAACAGATTCTTTAGATTCTTTTTTTTTCGCAATGGTAGATGGTTTCCATTGCCAAGTCGTTTAAAATTGTTGATCCTGTGTGTTGTTATGGCCATACACTTTTAAATTTTCCTTTTTCAGATGAAACAAATTCTATTGGCGTCTAGACTGGAATCTAGTCACAGTTTAAGAGATTCCTGTATACGAGAATCTTCTTTGGAAACTTCAGACCTGGATGAGTTGGATTCTGATTTCTTCTAGCTCCTGGAAACTACAGACCTGGACAAGTTGGATGCTTACTTCTACTTGTTCTGGGAATATTTGGATATGTACAAGTTAGATTTAGACTTTTTCTACAAGACATTTGATTCAGGATGAAGTCATTATTGTAAAGGTCCATGTATACTGACAACAGACCAATTAGAATGTTGAATTAAACTCTCATTTTGCTAATTATTACAATACATTTAAGAAAATGTACCTCAAGATAACTAGGGATTTACCTATGAAGGCTAGCATTTACAATTTTTTAGGTCAGCTTATTTAATTAAGGCTAGAGGGCCTTGTGTTCAGTTTTTTTAGACCTGTCTGTCGATAATGGTAAGTAAGATGAGGTAGATATAATACAATGCAAACTTACAAGTACATTGTAAGAAGATATGTATCTTTTTTTTACATTTTGTATTCATTATGTCATATCATTAATACCTGTATTGCCAAAATATTTGGGAATAATGTGGCTGATAAAAATGAGAAATTAAGTGTTACAAAGTATGCCTGCTGTATGATGACAGTTGCAATCACTTTATTGATGACAGTATTTGTTATATGTCTACATGTCCTTAAATTGTTTTAGGTGCTCTCATTATCAGTTATATTTGTTAATTATTTTTTTATTATTAAAGTAGGTACACATTACTTTTGTCCACATTTTGCTAAGAATCATTGTGTTCAATTTTTTTATAACATTTGAAAAAATAAAAACTTTTTATGTATTAATCACCTTAACACAATGACCACACACATGGAAGAATTGGTCATACTATGTACATGGGAAACATTATTCATAGTTTTTCTGTCCTCACAGAGAAAGGTTAATTTTTGCCAATTCTGAAATTCCCTGTAAAATACATAAAATTACCAGTAAAGATAAGCTCCTTTTAAGTTTTGTCTTCTGTGCAGAAGGTTAAAATGAACATTTCAGTTAAAACTGCGGTGAAGTTTTCCAGTATATAGGGGTAGATCAGGATCATTATTTCTGAAACACAAAACTTGCTTTTGTCATTATCATCAGTGGGTGGATTACAAATAGAAAAATACTTCACCTCTGGGATTTTCATTTATCACATTGCTGGTGTGTTCTGCCATGACAGATAGAGATATGTAGTAAGACTTTGTGACATTAGAAATAGATAATATCATTCAAATGGTAAATGAAATTTGTTAAATTCATTTTGAAGTACTTTTACGCTGTGTCAGCCATAGCCTAATTTTACATTGATTTCAACATAGGTATATTTTTTGTCTTGAGTACCCGCGACATGAGTTTATTCTGGGAGATTATTCCAATAAATTGCTTGTGAACAGGTCAGGAAGTTTGCAACTTTGTTACTGAATCAGTATTGTTGAAGGATGATTTGGAGTGAGTTTGATGGAGTGATGTATGATTTTAAAACGATCCCATAATTATGATTTCACTATGACCATTTAATCAGTTTGTCTGGTATCAAATATTTATACAATCCAGCGTTCAAATTTTTGTTAAGTTTTGAAGCATTTATGTGCAATGTTTTGTAGTGGAAATCTATTAAAATGACCAACTGCTGGGTGTTGTTAAGTTTAGAAGTATTATAACTGTTATCAGTCAGTTAGATTACCCGTATATACAACGGCATTCCATGTGATATATTGTAACCACTAGATACATATCGGTTTGATATTGATATCATTTTTCCTTTTTGTCATTTTTGGTCAGTAGACCTGCCCTGTATTGTCCATTTACCTGTCCTATGTGGTCAGTTTACCTGTCCTATGAAGTCAGTTTACCTGTCCAGTGTGGTCAGTTTACCTGTCCTGTGTGATCAGTTTACCTGTCTTGTGTGGTCAGTTTACCTGTCCTGTGTGATCAGTTTGCCTGTCTTGTGTGATCAGCTTGCCTGTCTTGTGTGGTCAGCTTGCCTGTCTTGTGTGGTCAGTTTACCTGTCTTGTGTGGTCAGCTTGCCTGTCTTGTGTGGTCAGTTTACCTGTCTTGTGTGGTCAGCTTGCCTGTCTTGTGTCGTTAATTCAGTATCTGCCAATCCATTTTTTTTTAATGCCCATATTGATTGTTAATTGGTTACCACCTTACTCAGGATATACGTAGTTATACATTCTTGTACATATAAACAGCATTGTCTTTGTAGCGTCTGTTAATTATGCTTCAGTAGTACATGTATTTAGCCTGCATATGTTCATGTTGTTTTTTAGAATTTTTTCATTTAAAGTAGCCATTTTCTGCTGCATGTGTTTGTTCTAATTTCAGATACAAGCTGTAGCTTTTAACCTATTTTTTGAGCTTGTGCCATAACAAGTATATGACCTTTTATGTTACATTTTACTATTTGATGTGCATTCTTTAGCAGTTACCAAGAAATTTCTGATTTACAATTTCTATGTTCTTTTTATCCATTAATACTATACTAATGTAAAGTAAGCTGTTACAATGATATAGAGTTTGTGTTGTTCAGCCAAATATCATCGACGTCAACTTAATTCTTAAAGAAAATAATTTGTCTTAGAGTATTCTTTTCAGGTTGTTTAAGTTAGAAGTCTTGAAAAATGAATTCATCAATAGCAATATATGGTACTGGTCAAGTTCTCTTCAATATTCATATTGATATAGTGCACATGTCTGTTAATAAGCCCACACACACATGCTATTTTATTATCCAGCAAGAAGCGCTCTCCTTGACATTAAATCAGAGGTTATAACGTTTTGGTCCCGAGATTTATCACAGGTTGAGTATGGTATCAGTTTCATACTTAATATCTAGATATCTATAATTTAAATGTATATAAAGCAATAATTGATATATAAATTTAAACAAGAATGTTTTTTCATTTGATTTATAATTCATAATGATATAAACCATGTCTTCCTATTTAAATTTGACCTCGGTGACAATGAATCCTACTGGATTGAAGGTAACTATGCCATGTACTGTTGTAACTTGAAAATATTTGAGTTTACCACCATGAAAAAAGATACTCTTGTGTTCTTACTATCATCAAATGTGGCTTTTCAAGGTTTTTTTATGGTTCTGAAAAACATTAAAATGTTATTCATCGATTCTCACTGAAAACTGTATACCTAAACATTATAAGAAAACAATACTCATTATTGGTTCTTAAAACTACTTACATAAGGTTATTCCAAAGTTCTAAATACCACCAATAAGGCTAATCTTAAGATTTGAATGTCATAAATTAAGCTATTACTAAGTTCTGAACACTACCATTAAGACTATTCCTAAGTTTTCAACACGATCAAAACGCTATGAAAGGATTCTAAAAACACTACAAGAAGGTCTGTACCTATACTTGGTTGGTTGGGTGATATGCTTGGTAGTTAGTGTTTTCCTAATTAAGCAACTGAAGCTGTTTGATCGTCAAAAAATTCAAAATATGTACTCACTGACCTTACCACTACCTTATCCTAGGTTCTCTGAATACAGACCCTCAAGGTTAACAGTAGAATATAATTAGACAGTCCTCCCTTTTTTATGTGTAAGTTATTTTGTAAACACTTTTTATTTTTTTTATTCTTGGTATATTTTATATTATTAGATAATTGTATCTGTCGAGAATAGTGTTGTACAATAATAATATTTGTTTTCCTCAAAATTACAATTCTTTAGTATGCATACTATCAAAATACAAAGCTGATACCATATTCCTTTCAATGAAAGTAAATGTTGGTGCTTACCCACAGGTAAAAAAACAATGCTTATATTGAAGTATATTGTTGTTTTGTTGATATGGAGATGCTTAAGGAGTTAAAACACATTGTTGACACATGTTTTAAATATAATACAATGTTAATGACTCAGTGTTATACTAATTATCTAATTAAGACCAGTGTTGATAAACTTTATATATTCTGTAATGCTTAATATAGTGCAGTGATGAAGCTTATTCATAAATACATATTTACCATTGTATAACAATACTACAGTGAAACCTTACTTCAGCTAGTTGTGTATTACCAGCTCCTGAACTTTTTATGAGGTAGAAATATTGTAAGTGTAAATAAAATGAGTCCCCTTCGCCATCCCTCACTGTCTTTACTAGATGAAAACTAGTAAATGTTATTGAATTGCTTTTACTGGACAATCCTGTGCATTGTGAATTCCAAGTGATAAAAACAAAGTTAATTACTTAAATACAATTATGAAATGTGTTCCGTTATAAATCAAAGCTCTAAGAGACGTTTCAGAATTAGAGTACCGATTATCGATTCATTCATTTGAACAGTCAATGTATTTTTTAATAATGTACAATGCCATTGTGTTTCTAATTTATGTACTTTTTCAATAAAAATTGTTTATCAATGTATTGTTAAATGTAATGTAGTGTTAATCAAGTCTTGATCTTATTCTTGAAATAAAAATAAAGAAATGTACTCCTGAATCACATATAACACAGTATTATATACTCAATGATATATCAGGTTTTTAAAACAAATTGTTAATTACAATACACAACACAGTATTATATACTCCTTGATATATCACGTTTTTAAAACAAATCCTGTATTTCAATACACAACACTGCAGGATAAAAGTACGAAAACCAAGGTTAAATCGTAAAACAATTAACCCTTTCTGTTAGCTTTAAGGTAATGTGTTACAAGTGTTGGACTGCTGATTTCAGACCCGGCAAAGCTATCAAATAAAAATGCCTATTTTCACATTTGAAATTCTGCAGTAGCAAATCCTTTGTTTTCTTTACTGTTATTGAATGCTAGTTGTTCAGATGTGGAGATTTCATGTTGATTTGTCGTAAAACTTTAGCTTTTCCAAGATAATCCAAAGTTGAGCAACGAATTGATTGTTTGAATACTGTGATTTTTAACCTACCTGCATTGTTGTTTATTGTGTGAATACAACCGATATATGAATGTGTATCTACAATATCTTATTCCAACAGCCAATAACGGGTATAGACCAGGTAATGTTTTATATATGTAGCCATTACTTTCTTAGTATTCTTGTTTTGTACATTAAACACATATCGGAACAAAGCTGTTGTTTGTTATTGAAATACATTTACAAACATGCTCTTATTCTCTTTATGAACCATTTAGACTGTAACTTACAGCAGCTCTGTAAACTGAACTAAAATTCAATTTGATTTCCATTTGATGTAATTTTGTTTGGTAATCAATATGAACATTTTCTGATATATCATATACATACATACCATCATATGCTGTTGAAATTTACCAGACATGTTGTATTCAATGGGTGTCACAGTGTAAATTCTTTGTCTAGTAGATGGTGAAATATTAAAACATGAGGCCCATGGGCTTTAACAGTCATTTAACTACCTGGTAATCTTAACATGATTTAAAGAGTTCTGGGTCACAACTCTGTCAGTTGTAATTGTATCGGTCCAATTGATGATATAAGGCTGCATACAAAGTTTCATCAAAATCCATTCATACTTATTCACTTTATTTCAAGTTATCATGTTTACAAGGTCTAACAGTAATAAAATTGTGCTGGGCTATAACTCTCAATGATCAAATAAGTACCATTGTCGAACCCCTCCAAGGTAGATGGCAGCATATCAAGTACATCAAAATCTATTATAATTTATTCATGTTAACATGTCCACAAGAAAAACATACAAAGAAGGATTGAAATAGGTCACTATGATCTTAGTTCAGGTGACCTAAAAAAACCTAAACATAGATTTTAGATCATGGTGGGCAGTTCAAATCCATGGTTGTTGCAATTCCCTGGTCCCTTGGGGTCGAAAAAACTTTCTGAATTTAGGAAATTATTTCCAATGCCCCATGATGTTTCAGACCAAATTTGGATGAATTTTGCTGAGGCATTAAGCAGGAGTAGTGTTTTAAAGTGGACAACACACAACGATGAATGATGCACAATAGCAGTAGGTCATCATGGACCTAAAAATGGCTAATAAGCAGCCATCTTTGATTTTGACAAATGAAGCTTGTTATTGCAATTAACAGGTGTTGGATAAATCTTTCTCAAACATCAATATGCAAGTTCTCATTGGTCTCCAAAAAAAGGAACGACTTGACAGGAAGCCATCTTGTATTGAGGGATACAACATAGGACATTCTCAAATTTCATATGATTCTCTGTAAAATCAAAGGTCTGCCTGTAAAATGTACGATAAAGAACAAGAACTATAATTGGAGATTCGACAGTAGATTCTTCAGTAAAGAATGTTGAACTAAAACTTTAAATCTGTCTGCTGATCTATGGTAAAGAATGTTGAACTAAAACTTTAAATCTGTCTGCTGATCTATGGTAAAGAATCTTGAACTAAAACTTTAAATCTGTCTGCTGATCTATGGTAAAGAATGTTGAACTAAAACTTTAAATCTGTCTGCTGATCTATGGTAAAGAATGTTGAACTAAAACTTTAAATCTGTCTGCTGATCTATGGTAAAGAATTTGGAATCAAATTGTAGGTTTACCTTCAGAATTCCTGTTCCCTACATTGACTTTGTCATATTACAAAATCTTTCACTTTGCAATTACATAAGGTACTCCATATCTTTAAGTGATAAGTTTCTACTAATTCCCATTGACAAGACTACCTGCTCTTTTGGCCATACGTATTTCTGTAAAAAAAATCTTGAAACTTTTGTTTAGCATCTTGACCAGGATCCCTGCTTTACACAACTACATACTAAATTAGTGTTAAATGTGTCCATCAGTAAAAAGTAAACAGGAAGAAAGAAGAGAACTTGTTCTTCAGCAGATAAATTAGTCGTAGCTGAGGTAGCTTCTAACTGAATGTATTTAAATTATCATCTCACTCATTGCTGAGTGAAAAACAACAATATACACATCAAAGTTGATTGCCATTTTATCTTGACTTTAAAAACATGATAGATGATACGATAAATAAAAAACGAACATCAACAAAATCCCTCCCCCCACCCCCAACTCCATGAAAAATGATAATGATAAATCTTTAAGTGCCATGCATTTACTAGACATGTCTTTCTTTATACTTAAGTCCATGACCCACAACATAAAAAGATTTCTGCTTAAACTTTTTTGCCATTAAACTAAGGGTTAAAATCTGTAACAACAATAACTAGTTAGGGAAAACAATTTTTTTTAAAAAACATTTTAAAGGCAAGAGAGTTAATTTGAGCCAGTAAACGTTTGTGCAGCTGTACTTTTCAATCAGGCAACTGAACATCAGGCTATGCTAGCATACTCTTGTGTAGTAACGGATTTCCATTTAGAAATGAGAGTTCTGAAGATTCTAAATACAAATTCTAAAGGTACACTTCAACACTGGTCATAAATACAAACACTACAATGAAAATCCATCCTGATGTACATCCATAAGATCTGTGTAAAATCCTTACCACAGTCTAGCAAATGTATTGAAATGAAACCATCAACTCTGCTATGTTTTCTTATGCCTTCAGGGAATATTTCTGTGTAAAATTCCCCGTTGACAACTACTACTTTACAGACATTTCGGACTTTTTCACTTGTCTCAAGCTATATTCCTATATTTTTGTGGTATCTTACAATGACAGGTTTTCTTTATCATATAAAATTACCAAAATTTGTTGCATTTAAAAAGATAAAATATAAATGCTAAGAAAAACATCAGCTTTTCTCTTTTTGTTCTTGAAATTTTTCAAATTGCACAATTGGCCATTAATTATCTACACTGTGACAAAAATGAACTGGAAGTTTCTGATGCCATATGATAAATTCAACTCAAGTACAGGCTGACAAATACCTGCAGTGGTTTTCTTCTAGCCCTGATTTAGATGATACAAGGTACCAGTTATCCTTTCGTTTGGAGGTATAGCCCAGCAATGGGCATTGTCTTGCCTCTGTCACATAAGGACATTTTCAGATAACCAGCAAATCTGTAGTAATATTTACATTCTAATGAAAATTTTATGAAAAAAGTACATCTACAGTCCCATGTTTTGTTAGTAAGAGTTAATGAGTATGTTACACTGATATTTTATTAATACTATTTTTAAAAGCAATTACAAGGTATTGTCATTTAAAATGGCATCATTCCAGTACAGCTATGAAATATGGTAGTTTCAGCATCAAACTAGCTGGTCGAATCATAAATGTACCAATAACGGCATGGAGGAGCACATTAATATCAAGGTTACAAATGTGAGGATAGAAAACTTGGGACTTAAACATGTCACAGTACTTACCAGATTAATCCAGCAATAGGCCCATAATAGATGATAAGCCCCTCTACATTTATTGAAGGTTTCATAATAATTTTAACAAATACTATATCACTGGCCTGTGGCAAGTCCACCGTCTGACTCCCAGTCAGAAGTTATGTTTTGGCCCCTGGGCCTATTGCAGGATAAATAATATAAAGAAGGATTCAGCTGGACTCCTTCCTGGTTCAACTTCTGGGCCACTATCAGGATCACACCAGATAGAATACATGAATGAAAAACAGCAGTGTTTTTATACAAGAATTGTAATGATTGTGTAGTTTGGTAATGATTATATACATATGACTACAAAAAAGTAATAATAAATACATTCAGGATTTATAAATTTGCAAATTGTGTACAATAGGTTTAGGAACTCCGTACACAGGTACACATGGTATATGCACTATATATATATATTTTTTTTTACAAAAATACATTTACATATATTTAGAAAACCTTTACACATTAACATTGCAAGACCAAAAATTCAATATGTATACATCAAATGAATTCCTTTGTACATGAAAAGTATCTAGAATCCATAATTAACCATCTATAACACACAACAAAATTGCCGTAATTGATAACACACCAGTATATGAGGAAGCTGCCTTTTAATCTGAATAATGTACAATATTTTGGAGCAGGTGTTCCATATGAGACTTACGCTTGAAAGAAAGGTTATCCTAAAAATAACAGTGAATTATAGAAGTGTTGTTGATGATGAAGTCAATAACATGACATCTGGTTATAATTAAGTTAAGGTTGGATGACACGAAATGACATCTGAGCATCACTGTAAAAAAGACATACAGAAAACAGAGATATGATACAAGTAAGAATATTTTCTGTTCCAATAACACTCCTTCTTTACAAAGCATTAAAATCAAAGTGTAAAAATATGCATTATCAAAGTGTACATCCTGTTAAAGTTAAGCTCGACCAAAACCGTCAAGGATATAAACACTTTCCTTCAAAAATCAAAAAACACATTTGACTAAGAAATATTTCAAAATACAGAAAATCTTATTTCAAATCTGACTTTAGCATTTTTCAATTTGTAAATCCTTATCGTAGTCTATCTAAACTGTATATGGCTTATTGAATAATAGAAATCCTCAAATGCAACATTTCTACAAAGTTGTTTTTTGTTTTGTCTTTGTCTTGTTTTTCATCTTTTTTCACAGCAAGAAGTGACTATAGGAGTTTCAAATATAGGTCCTAGCTTTACACCTTCCTGTTACTTCTACCATCCATATTAGTTATGAATGCATTTTTAACATGCACTTGAAAATTTCATAATTTTCAAGAAATTACACTTGTATTTTCTTGAAAATAATTAATTTAAATTTTAATATATAAGTGTGAATATGTCAAAACCCTGTGTCAATGATTTTTTGGAGGGCAGTGTTCCAGTATGTCTATTTATTCTCGAAACACTTACGCTGTTTATACATAATTGTCCTCTAATATCAGCACTGTTTTATATAAATCGTGAATATATCAGTCCTCACTCACAAAAAAATAACAAAAACGTTTATATGACTATATATCCTCATATACATAACAAAAATTGTCAGATACTGTAAAACCGTTCATTTTTTGTGAGAAATTATTTTCCTTGATTTTGTGGGTTCTCTTAACCACAGATTCATATGTCCATGAACAGTTGTTTTATGTAGCTTAACTGAGCCTTTTTTATCCATAAAATCAAGTGTCCATGAGCAAGTAATTTTTTGAAAACCACAAAAATTGAGCCTCACAAAATATCTGAATTTACAGTAAAACAAAAAAGTAAAATACATACAGGAATGTATCCATACCTGCAAACCTACATGTACCTCTTTGTATTCTCAGACATGCACTTTAATATGTTTCCTAAAACACCATTTTCATATACATAATATATGACTGTGTATTCTAAAGTAGAATTGTTCTATATACAAATGTTATTTACCGCTTTATTTAATCAATAAACTTTTATACATGTCACTCTAAACAGACATACAAATTGTCAGAGAAATTGTAATGGAGCACTTTCAGTCCCAAGCTATAGGCATCAAGTTGGGTTAAAAATATTAAATTCTATAATTAAAAAAAGGTAGATCAAGTTCACACAAGCGTCTACAAAGAGCTAGAAATTCAGTTTAGTTTGTACAAGTCTTTGTAAGGTATTTTGATATTTATGATGGAGTCCATAGAAAAAACTGATATAAGTAAACATCTGAAATGAACAACATGGTACCATATTAAAGGGCTACAAACCCTGATGAAAACTTGTTCTGACTGGGAGGATAACATAACCTGATCTAGTGCCACCATTCTTGTGCCATGTTTATAGAAGCTTCCTGACATCAATCAGTCATGTCAATGTTAACATACAGAAAATATCGAAGTCCATCTGTCAATAACAACACTAGATGTCAGTTTAAAAATTTAAATTCAATATACAATTTTTCATAATATGAAAATTGAAAACTGTTTTCAAGACAGTTCTGGTTTGATACAATACCGTAAATGATACCACACGATCCATCTGAAATTCATAATCTAGAAATATATCTAACGCTGCTACTTCTAGACATCAAAACTAATGAACACAAATATTCTAAGCTGAGGCATCCAGAAAACCTGTCTACATTGAATCCTGTTTAATCCGAATCTTGGCACTATCAGCTTCTGTCACATCCTCCTTCCCATAATATATATCAATATTTTCAATTCTAATAACAGTTTAAGCACTGTTTTACTTGAAGTATCAGTTTTGCTTCCTTTCCCCTACCCCAGTTCCATCAGCCCCACACCAGCCTGATGATAAACAGACCCACTATGTACATTTACTATTAGTTAATCCAACAAATCAACACAGGAACCACTAACATAGAGATTGAAGAACAAAAAATATTGGTGACAAATGCTCTAAAAATTTGGCAAGTAATTATTATCAAATAGACAGACAACATGAAACAAAATGCATGTTTTAAAATCTCTATAACATCATTATTATGTAACAAATATAAATCTAAAAATCTTAATCAACACTATTGGTACACAACCAAAACTATTTACTACGCCAATCACCCAGATCTAATCCTGGCAGTAAATTGGTGGCCAATTTTAGGCTTCTGGGACATAACATAATCAGACAGCAGTTTAAAACTTAGATTTGTAGCAATTTCCATCCACACATACATCTAAACACGAAAATAAGACTTTAGTATCAGTACACAAAATAATAAAAGAGGATATCTAAGATATCAAACAATGTTGTAATTTAGCTGAGTCTTCCATTTCTTCCCACATATACACTGAGAGTGTAACTAATAATCCACTTTAATGATATGTTTCTCAATATGATGAGATGAACATTGATGTGTGTATCTACAGATGTGACATAATGAAGAAATCTCCAACAAACAATACTGTGGAATACTTCTGTGTCAGATCTTTGACCCCTAATTCTAAGCATATTGATCCATCTCTTGCTGCTCAGATAAAGAAAACTCCAGAAAACTGATGGTTTATTATGTTATCAAATCACATCGGTATGTGATATTGATGTTGACTTGTAACTCCAGGGAGTTGACTTCAAAATAAATCTAATAAAACAATACTGCCTACATACACTTTTTAAAAAAGTTATATAAGAATAAATAACATGCATATAATTGATATACATAGTCTTACTTGCATTTCTCAAAATGCAGAGATTCCACAAGATCCTATGCTTGTGTCTCACCACATCAAGTTCACAAAACTACTGTCTTCGTAAAAGAAAGATTTCTTGTAAAACAGATGCCTTTTTTTGTAATCAGTTAATTAAAAACCTATACGTTGTTATCTAGAAAGTATAAATCAAAGAAGCATGATTAGAAAAATACATACAGACTATTAAATTTTTCATTTCAGGAAACATGCCATCTTCGACTAGCAAAACGATTTTGACCGTTTCAAATTGACATTTAGCGACGGGTACCTGACCCCATCAGTTGCTATTTTTGATTTTCAACTTCTGAATGTTCTTACAATACAGAAAGAGCAAACATGTGCATTTTTTAACCTTGTCATTGTTTCGGAATGGCTGTGTAAATATCCCAAGAAATGTCTGTTTGATTTTAAATCAACATTTTTTCCCCCCAGGTTTTCCAATTTTCTCTCAAATGGTAAGTACTTTATGACTTACAAGGTACATAACTTAAAACTGAAGTTTATGAATCTTATGGAAAAACTTATGATATGATCTTTTCACATCTGTAGAACGATTATAAAACAAGACACAAAAGCATCTCATTGAAGATACCCATTGTCATTCTAGGTATGACTTCAGAAACAGGAAATTTTACTACCGGTATATGGAAAATTCAACTTGGTGCAAACCAGACAGTGGGAAACTTTTCAACACAGGCTATCCAATTTGATACATGAAATCCAACTACACACAGAAAGTGACATTGACGTCTGCAGCTGCAGATACAAAGATACGAATATCGGCACACATTCCAGCCTTAACTGTCTGTGGAACAAAGTCTGTGTCGATGTTCGTTCTGAGACCTAAGAACACTTTTGCTATACAGTATCACGAGGCTTGGATGACAACAATAGTTCCTTGACTCGTTCTGGGGTTGGTCCCCATCTGGCAAAGCCAGCATTGTTCTGAAGAAACACCACCATTGTACCATGTAATGACTTGGAACTCATGTCTGTCCTGAAATAACACAATCAAAATTAATTAACATTCATTTCTCAGGAAGGCTGATAACAGATTATATACATGGGTCTATTAATGGATTTCGTTTGTGTTTTAGTCTCATTACAAAAAGAAAACAATTAATTGCTGTGGGAGGATACAAAAGCTTGATACTTAGTATTTCACAGTTAACTAACTTACTTTGGACAAACATGTTGAAACCCACTCCTGTACTCATGTTCATATGGGGGAAATATCACTTGTTTTCTCTTAAATCTGAAAAAAGTTATCATATAAAATATACATGTATTCCATCCTTCACACAACAGACTGAAGGACATTTAGATAACAAGAAAAATAAAATGTGGTTAGAAAACATTTTTGATGTAATTATCTAATTACATATATTAGTATTACAAGATTTTATACACAGTCGTTATTTATAAAGAAATACATATACCTACTAAAATTGAACACAGAATACTTAAGTGAAATGATTCCTTATAATTTCAAATCATATCTTTATTGAATAATAATGACAACTATGTATATGACCCACTTGTAATAACATGGTATAAAGTGGAACTTTCAGAATATACTTCTAAATACAGACCAACCTACATGTCCGCACAGACACAAACCTGCTGGATTCTAGACGCATGAGAGCCTCAGTGGGAGGGTCTCTCCACTCTGGGATGAACACAATGAAAGATAAGGGTTCCTGGGTATCACCAAGCAAGCCCTGCAAATATACAGAAGTATTGAATAAGTACCAACATATGTGTCATGGTTAAAAGATTAGTGGCCTATATGCTGATGTGTAATCTAACTCATCCTAAAACCAGTCAAAGAGCGAATACATTACCTTTGACTAAAAAAGTTACCATGTAGGATTATTACAGAACTCTAGAATAGTGTTTGTTGGCAATGCTCCTGAATATCAATATATATATATATATTGGTGAGCTTATTACCAGTTACGGGATTGTTGTCAAGTAACAACATTTATCCAATCACCACTATTCAACCTAGTTACCACATTGTCCTTCAATGAGTAATATATTGTCAATTTGTCTGTCAGAAGTCTCCTGTCCCACTATCAAGACACATCTATTCCAGTTGTCCTTCAATCTAGTTAAGAGTCCTGCTATCCAGACACTATTTTTCTACTTGTCTCTCTATCCAGTCTCCTGTTTGAGTATCCTGTCCCTTTCTCCAGTGTCCTGTCTAACTATCTAGACACTGTTATTCTACATGTCTCTCTATCCAGTCTCCTGTCCCAGTATCCTGTCCCTTTCTCCAATGTCCAGTCTAACTACCTAGACACTGTTATTCTACTTTTCCCTCTTTCTAGTCTTCATTTCTCTGAATTTCTGTCAAGATAGTCATCACTAACTGTCAAGTTACTACTAATCCTAACAGAGAGACATAATTCTCATGTTAACACAGCTTTCAGTCGCATACCAATAGATTTGTTCTTGATGACCGTAGCATTTACAGGTTTTTGATGACCCTAACAGTTTATCTCTTTGAATATGCAGCAAAGATTACCTCAAAATGGTCCACCATGGCTTCCATGAGTTCCTCACAAAATGGCGGATTGGCTTCAAATGACCCAGACACTGGATGGAATTTCAAAATTGATCTGTGAAAAAAGGATGCAACAGATGTTAATGATTTAATATTTCATTCTTTACAAATTCACCAAAACGTCATCTGATTCCACAAAACTAAAAAAAAAAACTTTTAAAAAAATCGCCAAATAGCCTAGGGAATGAATAGACTTCTACAAAAAAAAGGAAAGTATTTTCAGTATTCTCTGTATCAAATTCAAAAGAATTCACCACTATCAAAAATGCATTTGTTGTCTCCTCCAATATGTTTTTTCTCTCTCTTTGTCTTCCTAATAATTTCCTCATAAAGATCACTTCTTTATAATGACAGAATACAGCTGGACAAAGTTGTAAGTCTGCTGTGTCACAGAGTTACTTTATAAGGAATCAAGATGACTTACCCACGAGAACCAAAATAGGAATCTGTATCTTCAAATGCTGAACAGTACTGTCTGAAGTAGCAATTCAATGGGGATGCAAAACATTCAAATGAGACACCAAAAACACGATTCAAACATTCAAACACGGGCACTGGTAGGGCTCCTTGTAAACCAAATCCTTCATTGGCATGGATCCCAAACAAAGTCTGAAATAAGAAGGCCAAGTGCCATGAGCTGTACTTTTCCCTATTAACAAACAGCAGTATCTATAATTAACATAAATCCCTTACTCTGTATACACACTGAAGTAAAACAAAGGTACTCCATTACTCAAATAGGTACTTAGATATAGGTCTGACAAGTGACGCCGACAAATGAACTCAGATGAAGTGATATACAGTGAGTACAAGACACACTAACATCACAAATTATACCCATACACAAATGATCCATGACCATTAGAGAAGACATCTCAAAGAAACTATTCTCTTGGTGAACGAAACAACTTTCTTCTTGTTAGCAACACACTAATCTTAAATGATGTACTCAAAAGCAATTATTGAAAACCCTAATGTAAATAAGTACCGACAAGTCCTAGAAACTTCAAAATACAGGTCACAGTGACCTTCTTTAATTACGTAACTGCCTTCCTCAGACACAAACCTTAAAGTTGCAATATTGTAATGCACTAGAGTTTGTGCTTTCAATCTTTCCATTACAGTAATATTTACCTGATAACGCCGTAACAAGCACCATACTCTGGCAAGAAAATGGTCAAATCTCGGATCATCCCTACAATTCAGTCTATACAGTTGCTCCTGTAATAAGCACACAGTCACAGATAACTTCATCAGTCATTAATAAGCATAGGCTTCAGTATATTCATCAATCATATGTTGCGGACTTTTGCATGTATTTAAATAAACACTAACATTTTGTTACTCTTTAGTTTGTAGAATTTATAGAAAAACCAGTCAGCACAAATACTCTATAACTCTGTACAATGAGACCTTGCTTAAAAGACAAACCTATCCAAGGGACAAACAGTCTTTCACAAATTGTAGATTATTATATTACGTAAATTCCGTCATGTTTGCCCTTTAACATCTTACACTCTTTATGTACTGTAAGAAACTCAGTTGATGATTCACACACAATAATGAAGTGTACATAATAGTTTTCTATTCAAAAAAATCTCCTGTTTTGGACTAAAAAAGTACACTGCTTACTGAGGATTTTACTAAATAAACTTCATCAAGACATTTTGAAAAGTTACAAATGACACACCGTCTCACCAAGTTGAACTCACACTTTATGAGACTAACTCTGAACAAACCTTCTCTTTGATGTAGGTCAAGGGTCAAAATGTTGATCAGTCACCTACTTTTCATACATGACACATCACTCACCAAGGTGAACCCATACATCAAATATGACATTCTAGTGACAAGAAGTGTAGAAGACAGGAAGATTACAGAAGGACAGACAGAAGAATACAATGCAAAACTATATTCAATTTCCCTCCCTTGTTCATAGAAGGGAACTAACAAACCAGAAGTTCCAGACCAAAACTAAAATAATTTGATCTGTAAGATTAAAGTCAGATATGTAGCAAATTTATCTTTAAAAAAAAATGTCTTACCAGTTTATGAAAATGTGAGCTGTTGATTCTGAGAGTTTCTGTTTTGTACTTAAGACTGTGAATCTCGTTTTCTGTCTGCATTTCCACCTGTGGAAGTCGTGGACAAGGAATCACCATCTGTATTGGGTAACAAACTACCTTACGCTTGTGTGTTGGCTCCGGAAATGGTGGAACCGCTGAAAAAGTAGAGAGAGGAATACTAATACTTCAGTCAGTTATTTTGTTTTCTTGTGCAAACACAAAATTGAATGGGCACAACCTAGGACCAAGGGGAACTTGCAGACTAAGATTGAGAAATAGCAATAACAAAGTTCAACTGTAAAATCTAGAATGGCTGTCTGGCAAGCATTTTGTTTCATTGATCAGTCGCAAAATGAAATTGTACATATCAAGTTTGACAAAATGGATGCTTGAGGTGAGACAGGTGTTCCACTGGAATAACCCTTATCAAAAACCAGATAATCAATGTCAACCAGCTTCATGACTCACGATTGATGTTGCTTTCTTTAAGTAACTGCCAATGTTTTTCATGCAGGGTTTTCACCGTGTCAGCTGACATGTTGAAGATCTTACTACAGATGCCCTCCACAGATCCCTTGGCTGTCTCAGTAAGATGGGGTTGACACTGTCGTTTGAGGTGGGCCAGTCGTTCCTGTCACAAACAACATTAATATATTATCTTACAATATACTGTGCATCTTCCCCTAACTGTTCCTTCTGAAAACTTAGCACCCTTAAAAGCCAAATAGCAATGTATGGAATGGTGTCCTCTTTATTTTAATATTACAAAACTTCCTCATATTAATCCCGCCCAATTCTGATGTATGAAATGCTTAAAACATACTGAAAATTACTTCTAAAACCAGCCTAGTCTGGGCATTTAAGACCAGAGCTCTGACCAACAGACCACGAAACACATACGCTTTGTGTCTTGGGCACATAAGTATTGCGGGTAGGCTTTTTTATACAGGCCATACGACAATCGGGAACCAAGTAAGATATACAAGTAGAGCTAGAAAGCTGCAGTTCTGCATTCAATTGGCATGACTTAAGGAATATTCTAAGTTTTACAAAATGAAAATATTATTGGGGTGTTGTTTTGAAAGATGATTCTAAAGTAACTACCAATAAAACATCATTTAATCTAATTCATTGCTTCTAACCACTTCAAGACAGACCAATGGCGCAACGCAGGTAAGGTACAAGTCTTTCTTTGTGAGCGAAATCACATACTTGATATTTTTTTCTCTTTAATTAAATACTTTTACTCCAAAGTTTCTGATTGGATGGAGCCATGTGTAGAATAAATGTTCAAAGTGAACCTAAAGCTTGGAGGAATTGATATTAATGTCATACACAAAACAAAACTGAATTTGGATTGGTAAACTTTGTTCCCTATAGAAGCTAAATATTTATGTCCCTTGCATTGTCTGTTTAATGAGGTTTCAATGTACTGCAGAAATTCATAAGCATACATTGGAAGACATAATTTTTCACATAAGCTGTAATTTTATCTATCAAATCAATTTTAATGTTGCAGTTCAAAAACTTCTTCCAAAATGATTTCTGTACATACAGTAATCATTCACATTGTCTAGTATACCAGCAATTGACTCCTTATATCATCCATTATACAGTGCCATATTCTGTTACACAGAAACTGAGAGAAGGTTCTCAATCAGCAAATGTCCTCTGCAAGAGGCGAAACTAGTAGATTAAATACCCACTCACAAGTAACACAGGATTAATTTCCTCTTCATAAAACATGTGCATGATACATGTATGTATGCAGTTTTCCATCTTTTATAAATGTACAAGTGCAACATATGTTTACTTAAATGGCTTACCAAGAAATCCTCATAACTTGCATTCTGTTGTTTTCTTAGCCAGGTAAAAGTGTCCTCGACATTCCACTTGACAATCTTCCGACTTTCTGAAGATGCACTCCTTCAAAACAAAATTTCATTGAATCAATGGAAATAAGCAAATCCATGTATCCATCTAATGAAGTTTCAGTTTTACTGCTGCATCTGGTATAATCCAAAATATTTCACTGCTGTTTGTAGATTATCCCATATACAATTTTGGGATGTCTGTATTAATGTGAAACATGCTGCATGATAATGATGTACCATTTTATAACAATTGTTGCCAGTAGTAACAATAACATTTACAGCAGTACCTGGTTTCGATCATTTTCTTCGCTGATTCAGCATATTTGAATAGCTGCTTTTTAGCATCACCAGAATACTTAGGTTTGATGAGCTTCACAGGTATGTCATTCATAATTTCTCTGTACATAGATTGTGATATCTCCGGTGAACACACAGATGGCAAGAATGGGTCAGAGCCCTTGTCAAGGACCTTTCTCTCCAACAGCCACCTATTGAACGACTCTGTAGGTGCATGTATCCCTGAAAAGATGCACCAGAAAGATGGCTAACTCACACAAAAATGGGGATGATGGACACAAGAAGGATGGAAGGAAAATGTACGATCATATATGTTCATCAGTTCATCATAAAAATTATAAGCTTATGGTATTTTTTGTTAAAACTAGCATCAATACATCAGTCAGTTTAATGTGAAATGGGTGACAACAAAAGATCCTCTAGGAAATTATGACTGAGGTTATAAGACTGAATGGGCAATATCTAAACAAAACAGAAAATTCTTCAAAAATATGTTCTTTCAAAAACAAAAACTCATTGTGGTAAAATATGTAAAGATCATTTTAAAATAAAACACATTGGAGAGGACTATGTAATTGTTAGATACATGGGTTTTTTAAGGTATTCATAGGAAAATGAAATGAGTCTCTTACCAAGGAAGCATCTAATAACTTTTGAAGTCCTGTTTAATTGTGTTATGATGTTCATATACAGGAGAAGATGAAGAAGTATTGAGGAATTACAGTACTTACATTGACACACACTTTAATGTTTTTTTGCTATCAAAGAAAACTGGTTTTTTTTTTTTTTTTTTTATCATAAAATAGCAAAACATCTACAACTGCATCTGTCCATTGAATATACCTATCTAAACTAGTTTCATCTTCAACATTCTTAACTTTATCTTATACTGACCTTCTCTGGCTTGACAAAGTTCCTGGTAGTGTGTCCGAAGTCGAGCAATCATCTGAGCTCGCAGAATCTCCATGTCCGGATGTGGAGGAGGAAGAACAGGAGGGGCACGTTCAAATATAACAGCATTGGTGGGTACATCGAAATTCCAGAACGGACTGAAAAAAGATACAGCAATCAGAATGAGTATGCCACAATAATGACTTTTAGAAGGAGGGAAGATTTATGAAGTCTTGGAATAAACTAATTTTACTCTAACGTGTGCTGAAGATGTATCTTCATGAAAGTTTTAAGACTATATCTGAAAAATGAAGTGGAAATATCTACTTGAAATATCTTCTGGAAAGCTGAATTTTTGTTCATTTTTTTTCAGGTGTTAAAAGTCAAGGTCAGAAGTCAGGAAGAGGCTTTAGTGACCCCACTTAGTATGTGACATAATAACTTTTTGTACAATCTACCTATTTTCCAAGTTAAATTTTTGTCCATCCATTAGGACAAGATGAATATTCTACATCCCCGACTTCAAACAAAGTGGAGGTACAACATTGTCACTCTTAAGAATAGTATATCTTACCTGTAAGCAAATGCTGGTCTCTTTGATGGACTGAGTGGCCCCATTTCTGTACTAGACCGTCGCTTCTCCCCAACTTGTGCTGGCGGTATTTCTATACTGGGTCTTGTAAGTCGTACATCCCCTGCAACATGTGAGGGTGCAGATCCTATCCCTAGTGGGTCGGTCAGTAAGTCTGGCTGTTGCTAAAAGTCAAATGACATTTACCTTTAGTTAATTCAAGTATGAAAAAGAAAGAAAAATAAAAACTTTTAAAAAGAATAAACATAAGTAATATTTTTCTTCATTCATTCAGATCTAACAACTTTTTAACATTCAGAATCTGAAGAGGACAGGGGTCTTCGAAGAGGCAAACAGCATTAAACAAAAGGCAAACATACTATATAGAAATGAAGGCAAACATGATAAGCATCTATAACGAACATCTAATTTTGTTCATGAAGAGAGCGTCTATTATAGTCCAGTTTTTTATCATCATTAAACGTATACTATCAGAACATTAATATAAACTGTACATAGCGCCTGCATTTGTATTTTTCTGCCATGTATTAACATCATTTTCTTCTGTTCACTTTGTATTTATATCAAAGCCTCCATTACAGATTTAGTTTGCTTGGTATTAACATCCAATACAAATGTAATATCAATGACACTTACCCCACCAATGGGAGGGGGCTGATCCCACAGGGATTCATTGGTGTTTTTGTTGAAAAAATATGGCCGTTGCTCTCGTTTGCTCCAGAACTTTCTCCATCCAGCCAGGAGCAGCTCTTCTGGGAGATCATGGACTGGGTCTGGAGACATCGGTTGCTGTGGTGACATTGGGAGGGAATCTTGTCTGGGGATTGGAGAGTGATTGATTGGAGGTGTCATAGTAATTCCATCTTTTGACAGTCCTGCAACAGGGTCAATCATTTTTTTCAACTGGGGTGACCCATTCCCATTGTCACCATTCTGAGAAACTTTAGGCTGCGGTTCCATTTTCATCACCTTTAATGAAAATATATGTAACTGTAAGAACGTAAAACAGGAAAAAATAAGAGAGCTTTTGGTACCAGAAACCAATTAATGTATCTATTAATATATTTGGTGAAAAGTTTTTCAATTTATCAATTTGTGACTGAAGCCATTTTTCTTATGAAATATTGCATATTTACCGACAGCACAAGTTACACAAGCATACATTAATGAATTTATACAGTGACCACTAAAAATTTATACTCAGCATCTTAACTTTTCTACGTGAATTGTTAATCTATATATCATTTAAACTCGAGCACATAATTCACAACATGCACCGACATTGGATAACAATGCTCAACAACTTTAATACGAGATATATATATATGAAGATAAGAGTATATCTCTGTACAGGAACACATTGGCTGTATTTGATCTTTACTTTCTGGAGTACTGTACTAGTTTAATCTAGGGTTGTGCTAAATGCAATTGTTGGAGGTATATTGTTGAATACTGCATGCAGATGAATTGCTTGATGCACACCTACTTTGCTTCATAATAAAACAAAAAGTTTGCGGGGAACTTGTAAATCAATGGCAATGAGACAGGTGTCTGTTAACATAACTGTGGATAACAATGTAGCAGTATCTGTGATAGCCAAATTAATACTTTTTCTTGTTTATCTTTTTTCACGGATACATAAAATGACGTAATTTTAATATGGAATTGCGTCGCATTTAATTGCAGTTGAAATAAGCAGTAGCATAAAATCCTTTTTTATTAAGAATAGTGTCCTTATCAAATATATCTGTATATTGGAAGAAAACACTAAGTAGTTTCAAAATGCCACTACTTGTACTTGCATCCAATATTGTTTCAGTGACGCAAAGTAGTAACAACATAGACACTGCTGGCACGAAATTTTCTTTCGTGTTCCATAATTTTGCATCCACAGATCGTGAATATTTTTTATCACATATAAGATACAATTCCATCCTCTATAATATGCACCAAAAATATATAACTACTTTCAGTTAACTTCCGCAAACACCGCTAAAAACGAGAGACGATCTCTCCCACGGCAAGCGAGATGACGCCATCGGCGGAGTGCTTTAATGAGGTAAATACAAAATGATATCAAAATGCCAAAGGAAACGAAACGGCACTTAAAAACATTGTTTGTGTCTTAAACATTTTACCACAATACACATATAGAAAACAAAACTAACAAACGTCAAATTATAAACAAGTATCCCCATCGGAGAGTATTTAACATCTTTTAATATTTTACGTACCATGGACTATATTTATTCCGTATGAAAATATAATTCGTATATTATACAACCCCCGAAGTACCCGGATGTGAAATACATACCACCTCAAGGCCTATGACTTGCTAATTAGCATATTGTATGCAAAACACTAATAGACTTGCAGTAGTTCCAACCGAAAGTGAAACTTGGAAATGATTGTATGTTTTTTCTGCTAAACTAACCTACTGCTAAAAAGGTTAATCTACACATTTCCTGCAATTCAAATAGAAATTTGAATGTACATTTTTTTTCATCAATATTCCTGAAAAATGTGTGATTTATGCTGTATATACATGTTTTTGTAATTTAATCTTCTATTTCTCTAAAGGAGTTAAGAATTGTTTTCAAATCCATGCCAACATATTGAGGGAGTTAGATTGACCGTTATTTTGCTGATAGCACAGCAGCACTTGAAAAAAAAGTGCTATTACATACAGTTGATAATTTAAAGATTTTCACTTGTTGATTCCGAACAAATTCATATAGTTCTTATCCTATATCACCTTCTTTCTTACCTTCCTTTCAATGATAAAACATATTTAGTGTGATCTTGAATTGTAGTAAATTTTGGTTTTTCATCAGGTTAAAAAATGAACTCTTCAAAAAGTAACAATATTCTCCTATCACAAATGACAAATAATGAGAAAAAAAAATCAAATCCTAGTGCAATGAAATATCTTTAAAACAACAAAAACAGTAACAATGACAAACCACCACAGTAATACACATATACACCAACCACCACAGTAACACCTACACCAACCACTACACTAACACACATCTACACCAACCACCACAGTAACACACAACTTCACCAACCACCACAGTAACACACACATACACCAACCACCACAGTAACACACATATACACCAACCACCACAGTAACACCTACACCAACCACCACAGTAACACATATCTACAAAAACCACCAAAGTAACACACATATACACCAACCACCACAGTAACACCTACACCAACCACCACAGTAACACATATCTACAAAAACCACCAAAGTAACACACATATACACCAACCACCAAAGTAACACCTACACCAACCACCACAGTAACACACATCTACACCAACCACCACAGTAACACATATCTACACAAACCACCAAAGTAACACACATATACACCAACCACCACAGTAACACCTACACCAACCACCACAGTAACACACATCTACACCAACCACCACAGTAACACACATATACACCAACCACCACAGTAACACCTACAAAAACCACCACAGTAACACACATATACACCAACCACCACAGTAACACACATCTACACCAACCACCACAGTAACACACATATACACCAACCACCACAGTAACACACATCTACACCAACCACCACAGTAACACACACCTACACCAACCACCACAGTAACACTCCTACACCAACCACCACAGTAACACACACCTACACCAACCACCACAGTAACACACACCTACACCAACCACCACAGTAACACACACCTACACCAACCACCACAGTAACACACACCTACACCCACCACCACAGTAACACCTACACCAACCACCACAGTAACACCTAAACCAACCATCACAGTAACACACATCCACACCAACCACCACAGTAACACACATCTACACCAACCACCACAGTAACACACACCTTCACCAACCACCACAGTCACGAACCACCACAGTAACACCTACATGAACCACCACAGTAACACACACCTACACCAACCACCACAGTAACACACACCTACACCAACCACCACAGTAACACCTACACCAACCACCACAGTAACACACACCTACACCAACCACCACAGTAACACACACCTACACCAATCACCACAGTAACACACATCTACACCAACCACCACAGTAACACCTACACCAACCACCACAGTAACACCTACACCAACCACCACAGTAACACCTATCAAATATAAACCCTACTGTAATCCTTTCAAATCTAAACATTACTGTGGTCATGTCAAATCTAAACCCTACTGTGATCCTATGTCAGCATGTCACATCTTGACCTTACTGTGATCCTTTCAAATCTAAACCTTACTGTGGTCATGTCAAATCTAAACCCTACTGTGATCCGGTCAAATATAAACCCTTCTGTGATCCTATGTCATCATGTCACATCTTGACCTTATTGTGATCCTTTCAAATCTAAACCTTACTGTGATCCTGTCAAATCTAAACCCTACAGTGATCCTGTCAAATCTTGACCCTACTGTGATCCTGTCAAATCTAAACCCTACTGTGATCCTGTCAACCCTAAACGCTACTGTGATCCTGTCAAATCGTGACCCTACTGTGATCCTGTCAAATCTAAACCCTACTGTGGTCATGTCAAATCTAAACCCTACTGTGATCCTGTCAAATCTAAACCCTACTGTGATCCTGTCAACCCTAAACCCTACTGTGATCCTGTCAAATCGTGACCCTACTGTGGTCATGTCAAATCTAAACCCTACTGTGATCCTGTCAAATCTAAACCCTAATATGATTCTGTTAAACATAAACCTTACTGTGGTCATGTCAAATCTAAACGCTACTGTGATCCTGTCAAAATGTGACCCTACTGTGATACTGTCAAATCTTGACCCTACTGTGATATTGTCAAATCTAAACCCTACAGTGATCATGTCAAATCTTGACCCTACTGTGATCCTGTCAAATCTTGACCCTACTGTGATCCTGTCAAATCTAAACCCTACTGTGATCCTGTAAAATCTAAACCCTACTGTGATCCTGTCAAATCTAAACCTTACTGTGGTCATGTCAAATCTAAATCCTACTGTGATCCTTTCAACCCTAAACGCTACTGTGATCCTGTCAAAATGTGACCCTACTGTGATCCTGTCAAATCTTGACCCTACTGTGATCCTGTCAAATCTAAACCTTACTGTGGTCATGTCAAATCTAAATCCTACTGTGATCCTGTCAAATCTAAACCCTACTGTCATCCTGTCAAATCTAAACCCTACTGTGATCCTGTCAAATCTTTACCCTACTGTGATCATGTCAAATCTTGACCCTACTGTGATCCTGTCAAATCTTGACCCTACTGTGATCCTGTCAAATCTAAACCCTACTGTGGTCCTGTAAAATCTAAACCCTACTGTGATCCTGTCAAATCTAAACCTTACTGTGGTCATGTCAAATCTAAATCCTACTGTGATCCTTTCAACCCTAAACGCTACTGTGATCCTGTCAAAATGTGACCCTACTGTGATCCTGTCAAATCTTGACCCTACTGTGATCCTGTCAAATCTAAACCTTACTGTGGTCATGTCAAATCTAAATCCTACTGTGATCCTGTCAAATCTAAACCCTACTGTCATCCTGTCAAATCTAAACCCTACTGTGATCCTGTCAAATCTTTACCCTACTGTGATCATGTCAAATCTAAACCCTACTGTGATCCTGTCAAATCTAAACCTTACTGTGGTCATGTCAAATCTAAATCCTACTGTGATCCTGTCAAATCTAAACCCTACTGTCATCCTGTCAAATCTAAACCCTACTGTGATCCTGTCAAAATGTGACCCTACTGTGATCCTGTCAAATCTTGACCCTACTGTGATCCTGTCAAATCTAAACCTTACTGTGGTCATGTCAAATCTAAATCCTACTGTGATCCTGTCAAATCTAAATCCTACTGTGATCCTGTCAAATCTAAACCCTACTGTGATCCTGTCAAATCTAAACCCTAGTGTGATCCTGTCAAATCTAAACCTTACTGTGATCCTTTCAAATCTAAATCCTACTGTGATCCTGTCAAATCTAAATCCTACTGTGATCCTGTCAAATCTAAACCCTACTGTGATCCTGTCAAATCTAAACCCTACTGTGATCATGTCAACCCTAAACCCTACTGTGATCCTTTCAACCCTAAACGCTACTGTGATCCTGTCAAATATAAAACCTACTGTGATCCTGTCAAAATGTGACCCTACTGTGATCCTGTCAAATCTTGACCCTACTGTGATCCTGTCAAATCTAAACCTTACTGTGGTCATGTCAAATCTAAATCCTACTGTGATCCTGTCAAATCTAAACCCTACTGTCATCCTGTCAAATCTAAACCCTACTGTGATCCTGTCAAATCTTTACCCTACTGTGATCATGTCAAATCTAAACCCTACTGTGATTATGCTAAATCTAAACCCTACTGTGATCCTGTCAAATCTAAACCCTACTGTGATCCTGTTAAATCTTTACCCTACTGTGATCATGTCAAATCTAAACCCCAGTGAATTTGGGTTAACTAAATTTTAAAATATAATACACAGTGACACTATCTAAAATGAACTTTTTGTTTAACACCAAAGTGAACCTAGCATTTCAAACTGAAACCTCATGGCAAACCTGCTGCAGCTGAACACAACAGTGAACCTGTCTAATGTAAGCACTATTTACCTCATCTACCATATATCTTGTATTTTTATTCTGGGTAGTAAGCAAGTACATGTAGTATGATTCTAAATTTAGAATTTTTGTTGCACTGATAAAGGCCAGTTTGTCTGTGTTACATCATGATGTTGTACTGGAAAAAAAACCAATTCTTACAATTGATCAATATTTTAATAACATGAATATACTTACATATAGTACATCAGTTTAAAACATAATTTCACACCTTAATGAAAGTCCATTGTTATACCCCATCCCATAAGGTATAAATGACTGTCCCATAGACCTATTCACATAACATTGTGTTAGCTCAGACTATTGTTTTGATACAACAAGTCTCGAGCTTCATCAGCCTTTAAGTCCATGATGTCAATTAATTCATTTGTTAAAGTATATGTCTTTCCTTTCCAATGGAACTTGGTTGGTGGGTTCTGTTCACCGTTCTCAAATTCAAAATTCTGACTGATTTCAATCGCAATGCTTGATTTGACAAGTCCTATTCCACCTAAGGTAGAGGCTGCAGGATGATAGACACGCCCAGTATTAGGTAACATACAAATTCTTTCAGGTTCAAATTTTACAGTCAGTGATGTTCCTGCTCCTCCGTATGATAACAGGTCAAGGTCATCTGGAGATGGAGTATCCAGAATGTGTGTATAAACTATAGGTCTATCATCACAACGGATAAAATTGCGTTCACGACCACAAGGTGATAAAAATGGAAAATCTTCTCTGTATCTTGAGGTTTCATTCAATCTTAATCTTTTGAAGAAAAATGCTAGGAAATCCTTTTCTGTAAACAGAAATTTGAAATAATAAACCATAACACCATGCATAGTTTTTTTCCTACATCTACCTAATTTTGAAATAGCATCAATGTTTTCATGAAATTCATGTGATTTTACTACCAGATAGTTTTTTATTCGGATGAATATGACAAGGTTTTTATATGTGCAAAAGCAAACTTACTGGATTTATTGTTTTTGAAAAAGCATAAAAATTTGTGTCATAAATTTCCGCCTGGGTAAATAAAGTTCAAATGATAAAGTCATCAGATTTAAACAACAGAAAAAACCTAATTAATCATGTTATTAACTTACCTTTAAAACATGAAGTGAAATTTTTCATCTTTGCATCATCAAGAAAGAGCTGTTAAAAACATAAAAAAAGAAACTATGAACACAATGTTTCCATAGGTATATCATTGTCTTTTAAAAAAACCTGATCAGTGGATCTAAACAATTATCACTAAAGACATATTTGTCATACTTATGAAAAATTTATTTGAACCAATGTCTACTATCAGTAGATATCAGTCGAGTTGCATCACCATACCAAGACAAAAGACCCATGGGCCTTAATCTGACTTATCTCAACAGTACTTAAACTGCAAAGAGCCATAACCAAGTTGCATTCATATTTACTAAAGTTAGTATGTTGACAACAGCCATGGTAATAAAACTGCAAATTGCCATACCTCTGTAAATTAGAACAAAATCCATTGTTTCGTTCATATTTACACGAGTTATCAAATTCACCGGGTTCATGGTAGTAAAATTGTGGAGGGAAATAACTTATTATAACAAGTTATGATCAAACCTATCTCATTATTGAAATCATACAAAGTTTCATCAAAGTCAGTCCATATTTACTCAAATAGAATATGCATAAACAGGAACTGAAAATTTGAGGACGTCATTGCAATCAATAACTTTCAAATTCCATGACAGCGGTCTTCTATACCGTTTTTCCTGATCTGTCCCAAAATGAACAATGCACAACTACGGAACAGAGGGAACCTACACATAAAATTTCAGAATGATCCATCCAGTATTCTTTTCAAGAGAAAGGCTACAACAACAGGCAAAATTAAAGATGGTCAGCTTTTGGCCACCTTTGTTTCCTGATGAGTGCCAAAGGATATAGTTCACAACTGCGTAGTGCCCAAAGGCATGCAACATATACTCTGTATGTGAAATTTTCCAAAGGAATAGCAACAAGAGGAACATAGGGTCTGTATCGCTAACCTGAATCTTAAAGCCTAGCAATGGTTTACATGGCTATAGGTTTGGTATTTCAAATATTTCCAAATTACAGCTCAGTCACTTAACATCTGTCGTAGGACAAGACCAATGGATAAATTCTTAAATCATTACTGTTTTTCTCTTTTGATGCCCAGTAAGAGTTTATATGGTTATCGGGTACCTCAACTATGTGAACAAGGGTCGTCAGCAACAGGTTACATTCCATGAATGGGACAAAATTTATGTGTGAAAAATAACGCAAAGCAATAGGAGAGTTATGATTTTTGTGCGTTATCCTCCATTTTGTGGAGGTCTATCTACCTATGAAATTTTATGTTGATACCGTGTTTATGTTTGAGTTATGCTGCAGAAGAAATTATAATAGACGGACAAAGTGGTGGCTATATGCTCTCCATTAATATGCATAAAAATATGACCCAGAAATTATGTCCCTTGAGATGTGCCACACCCAAGTGTCAATTCTTACATCATGAATGTGTTTATCACTTGATGCCAAGCATTATTTTACATGATCTAGGGGTGGAGATCTCAACTGGTTCAAAGATATAACTCAGAAATTAAGTCCAGAGGGGAGGAGCCACACCCAACAGTTAGCTCTTACATCATGAACATGTTTATCTCTTCATGTGCATCACTTCTATATATGGTTATGGGATGATGATCACAACTGTTTCAATGATATAACCTAGAAACTAAGTCCCCAGGGTTGGGGCAAGTCTCCAAGGCCAATTTTCACATCATGAGTGTGTTTATTTCTTGATTCCCATCATTGCTATATTTTGTTGTGGGATGGGGATCTCCACCGCTTCAATGATGTAACATGGAAACTAAGTCCCTTGGGAGGAGGACACAACCCAGAGCTAATTCTTACATCATGATTGTGTTAATCTTTTATGCCCAGCAATGCTATACATGGTTATGGGATGGGAATCTCAACTGTTTCAAATATATAACACATTTCCCACGTTAAGCCCCTCCTCTCCTGCTCCAGGGGGCCAGAAAAAAGACCCACCATTTATACAAATTTATTGTCCTCCACCCAAACATACCCAACAAAATTTCACCAAAATCTAATCAGAAGAGTAGGATTTTAAAGAATCCTTCACTCAAGCATAACTCAGGCCAAATTTGGACAAAATCCAACCATTCCTAGTGGAATAGTAGGATTTTAAAGAATTTGCTTATGGGGTTGAGACCCAATGTTCATACAAAATTGATTTACCTTCACTCAAGCATAACTCAGGCCAAATTTGGACAAAATCCAACCATTCCTAGTGGAATAGTAGGATTTTAAAGAATTTGCTTATGGGGTTGAGACCCAATGTTCATACAAAATTGATTTACCTTCACTCAAGCATAACTCAGACCAAAATTGGACAAAATCCAACCATTCCTAGTGGAATAGTAGGATTTTAAAGAATTTGCTTATGGGGTTGAAACCCAATGTTCATACAAAATTGATTTACCTTCACTCAAGCATAACTCAGGCCAAATTTGGACAAAATCCAACCATTCCTAGTGGAATAGTAGGATTTTAAAGAATTTGCTTATGGGGTTGAGACCCAATGTTCATACAAAATTGATTTACCTTCACTCAAGCATAACTCAGGCCAAATTTGGACAAAATCCAACCATTCCTATTGGAATAGTAGGATTTTAAAGAATTTGCTTATGGGGTTGAAACCCAATGTTCATACAAAATTGATTTACCTTCACTCAAGCATAACTCAGGCCAAATTTGGACAAAATCCAACCATTCCTAGTGGAATAGTAGGATTTTAAAGAATTTGCTTATGGGGTTGAGACCCAATGTTCATACAAAATTGATTTACCTTCACTCAAGCATAACTCAGGCCAAATTTGGACAAAATCCAACCATTCCTAGTGGAATAGTAGGATTTTAAAGAATTTGCTTATGGGGTTGAGACCCAATGTTCATACAAAATTGATTTACCTTCACTCAAGCATAACTCAGGCCAAATTTGGACAAAATCCAACCATTCCTAGTGGAATAGTAGGATTTTAAAGAATTTGCTTATGGGGTTGAGACCCAATGTTCATACAAAATTGATTTACCTTCATTCAAGCATAACTCAGGCCAAATTTGGACAAAATCCAACCATTCCTAGTGGAATAGTAGGATTTTAAAGAATTTGCTTATGGGGTTGAGACCCAATGTTCATACAAAAGTGATTTACCTTCACTCAAGCATAACTCAGGCCAAATTTGGACAAAATCCAATCATTCCTAGTGGAATAGTAGGATTTTAAAGAATTTGCTTATGGGGTTGAGACCCAATGTTCATACAAAATTGATTTACCTTCACTCAAGCATAATTCAGGCCAAATTTGGACAAAATCCAACCATTCCTAGTGGAATAGTAGAATTTTAAAGAATTTGCTTATGGGGTTGAGACCCAATGTTCATACAAAAGTGATTTACCTTCACTCAAGCATAACTCAGGCCAAATTTGGACAAAATCCAACCATTCCTAGTGGAATAGTAGGATTTTAAAGAATTTGCTCTGTTTCCACTCTTGGGCTCCAACCCACCAGCCCCATGGGAGCAAGCCCCACCATTTATACATAACTGATTCTCCTTCACCTACAGGAGCTGCAGGACTTAAAGAAAATTTGCTCTGTTTCCCCTTTTGACTACCACCCCTCAATCCCCGGGGTTGAGGAGACACACCATTTATAGCGAGCACTTTATGGTATTGTGTGTGTGGTTATTCAACTCCAACAAACTGCCCATACGATCAACTTTAAATGGAAGTATGGCTGGAACTTCAATACCCACAATACACTTACCGCAGCACACAATGAGAACTGCCGACCCGTTGAATGGATTAAAATGATTTTGACTGACAAAATATCGTTTCAAGCTCTAATGCGGAAATGAAATCATACTAAAAGTCTTAAATAATTCAAATGGATTTAACAAAAATATAATTTAATGGTTTTAAATGCATATAACGAATATCTCAATGAAAAATTACAATTTTAACCATTCAAGATATGAGCAGGATTGTGCACCGATATACCCGATTTCCGGTTTAACCTTCGGGAACTTTCGTCACATTCCGTAAGACATTGTCTCTTAGACTAAAGCAGCCGAAAGGTACCGATTTGGCGAAAAACCTGTCCTGTCTCCTAACTATATTAATTCTGCAAGATGTGGATATTCTTTTTATAACTGTTTGAAATTAATTATGATCAAGTATATGAATGTTTAGAAAGGAGTGCCAGTTTGGGCCTTCTGGTGGCCATGACGAATACTTTTTATTGTTTGACTATTAAAAACTTGAGGTCAGGCGGTAATGACATGACAGTAATCTAAGGTCAGCTCAAGGCTGTTCAGTTGTTATAGGGGGGATGAGTGGGGGATCAAATTCAAAGTTATTGCAATAATTATTAAAGTATAATATTTTTTTTTGTTTTTTTTCTCTTAAATGTCATTTGATGATATATTTCAAAACCTTCATTAGAAAAAATGACCAAAACATATGTCATTGTTGAAGAGTAGGTCACGGTAATTAAGTGCCCTAATTACTAATTAAGTCACACTTGAGCACCGTTTTTTGTCTTAATGCATCTATAAACAATATGTTTATCACGTGCAGTGTATTTATTTGAAATATTTTTGCAAATATGGATATTAAAATGGAAAAAATCAATTTAGCACCGGGTTTCACAGGATCATAAATATACAAGGCATGATGATAGGTAACTATTAGTGGTAAGTTTTTTTGTTGTTTTTTTTCAGAAAAATGCATTTATGTAATATATTGTAACTTTTGAATTTCGTTTAAACATATATATTTATATTGATTTTCTGAATTACAATGTATAACACAATAGTTTCAACAGTGTTTATAACTTTACCCTCTTTTTGCTATCAAGACAAGTCAACATTACTTACAAAAGTGAAGGTTCGAAAGCATTTTATGATTTGTTAATTAACAGAACGAAAACTTCAATAGCAAAGAGAAAAGAAAACAGTGTTTGAGTAAATTCTGTTGTTAATAATGAAAACTTGTTAAACATATAACCACCGCCTTTACAAATCGGACTAAAACTATATTGTCTTTCACAATATTTTGACTACAAACTCTTTTTTAAAGCAAAGTCGATATATAGTCCTCTCTGCAATATCTGTAACTCTGAAAGGGAAACTCTTGTACATTCATTTTGAAGAATTTGTTTTGATCAATTTTTTAGTCTAGATATGCTGTCAAAGACTTTACCAATACATTTACTGTTACCATTGAAACCGATGACCCTCATCACAAATTTCAGTTTTTCTGGTCCAATGCTCTGAAACCATTCAAGATAATTGCTCAAAACCTTTTACACTAATTAGGCTTGTAGTGTCTTTTGCTATGGGGGAAGTTCACCATTTGAATACTTTCTCTGTTACCATGGAAATAGAAAGGTCAAATCACAAAGTTCAGTTTTTTTATCAGACCAGTTCTCTTAAACCATTCAATGTAGTTACCCGTTACTCAAAACTTTGTACAGGCATCAAGCTAGTAATCAAGCAGAAATTCTCAATTTCACTACTTTGTATGGAATGATTTTATTCGAACCCCGGACGGCTAGGTGAAAGACAAGTGTGTTACAACTGTGCCACCAAATCATCGCCTGATCGTGTTGATACATTGTTTTCTAGAAGATCAACAAGAAGAAGATGTGTTGATGACGATGATGTTGATAATATATTAGTACAATTGTATGTGCAGATGTTTTGTTAAAATCTTGCGAAATATACAATTTTAAAAACATGCTTCAGTGCAGACATGGGCTGTTCAAATTTGCATCTTGTTGACCAACTTAACCTCGCTTTAAGGCAGTGCCTATTTCATATTACAAAATATGTTCCTCTCCACCAAGAATGACCAAATTCCGTCATAAAGTTGATGGACGGACGGTGGATGCTGTACCATGGCATAAGATCACCTATCCTTTGGACCTGGAGAGCTAATAAAAATTACAACTAAATCCAAGATGGCCGTCTGTCAACCATTTAGTTTTTTGGGGTTTATAAAGTTCAATATACATATGAAATTTGAAAATTACCTATCCGGTATTTTCAAAAAATTGCGATAGCAACAATTGTTAAAGCGGGCGTGCGACGGATGAAGAGCGACCTGAACAGCCTACCATCCAATCTTGGCATAACCCGTTACTAACCGGTGATTACTTGTTACAACAGTCCCTGAATTATTTACCTGGCCTTGATGGTCGATAAAGTAAAAATACTCCCTTATTTTTGGTTCAGGTGATTGACCTTGTATATAATGCACATCTCGACACCTGAGGTTAGGTTGACAATATTTCCTAATCATGAACTGAAGTCTAAAAAGACTCATGGTTTCAGAAAGTGAAGAGTTTGTTTTGGTCGGAAGTTGGAATAAAGTTCTGTCATGCGCAATCACTTTGTTAATCCCTGTTTGAAACGAATCAGATGATTAGTCTTATGCTTACTTCCGCTTTCTATTTATCCAATAAACGAAGTCGACACATAACTGTTACAGCCATATTTCCCTGATGAGCACTTTTAACAATTGTCATGCCTCTTCAGACCTAAGAATGACACTTTAAATACCAAAGACTAAGCAATGGATCCGGAGAGTGTTTAGGAATGAACTTTTGTAACGTTTCCACAGAGAAACCAATAGGCTAACTGTGCTTGAAGAAACCTTATAGAACTTAAGATGTCACATACTAAAAGAGCATGGAAACTTCGTAAGTTAGCAATTTAGCCAAAAAAGTCACTAGTTACGATCACACGCTACTCTGTTTTAGCCATATGTGCAATGTGTTGTGTTTATATGTTGTTACATTAATGTGGTGTTTAAATGAACGGTTTCTGTATCGTCAAATGCATTGAAACCAGATCACTGGTCTGAAAACATGGTATCTATGAAATTTTCTGTTTACAGTATACTGATATGTTTATGTAAACTGTAAAGGATCCAATCTCGGTCACACCTGCTTGTGGATCCTAACAATGGTTTTCATGAATATTGTTTAGAAAATTACATGCTTACTTCAAAGAGGTATTGACACAGCAAGACGGTATCGTGTACAATGAAGTCATACCATGCATCCTTCATTACAACATATGTCTATTCACCATAAATTGTACAATTTTAACATTAATGAGTGATAAAAACATGCTCTCAACTACAATCTGTAGGAGGACAATCTATACTTGACTAACAGGAAGTTCCCATTAGTCGATGCAAGTAGGGTTGACCTGTGCTCTTGACTTCTACTCATTAAAGTAACCGATTAGAGACGTTTCAGTACCAAATTGTTTGGTGCTTGGATGTTTTGGTACTTAGGTGGAACATTTTGATAACACAGATTTGTAATTTCGAGGAGTTTGGTTATTAACCACGGCAGTTTGATTATTGGCCAATATTTGTTGTTACCTTTTCAGACACCAGCTAATGCTATAGGTCAAACTGAGTATGAAATCATCTTTTTTTGGTGATGTTATATCACTTCTTTCAGTATTATAAGACAGTATGGATAGAGAGAATCAACCCTGAGCAAGTATTGAAATTTCAGGAGCCTGTCCATATTTTTAGTTTTAATTTTCATTTTTCTAATGCAACAATGAGCTGGGATAGGACTGGATGTTTAATGGGCAGAAGACACGACCGACCAATGTGTGCTATTTTCAAGCATCAAAAGATAAATAATCGCTCACCTAAGAAGGCCTATTTTCTGGTGTCTTGTTTGTTCATCAATACAGGAGAGAGATTATCATTGAATACACCAATGAGAAAAAATTATGCATTATAGCACTGCAACAGTTTACAAAGTTTTGAACTGAAATGACTCATTAAAAGGTACTAAGAAGTCTTTTTCAAGTCCTGAACAACTGGGTACCACAGGGCTCTCACACCCCATTTTGGGATTGGGGCCCGGGGCCCTTAGAAATGGGAAAACTTGGGGTCTAAATTGGGAAAAAAAGATACTATTTTGCATTTTATTATTATTATATTGATTATGACATAAAAGTTTATACATTACAACATTAAGTTTGTTTTCTTTTGAATTAATCAATTGAGACCAATAAGTCAACATTCTCGTTTTAACTGAAATATTCAATGGATAAGCTTAAACGATGGTGTACTACGTTTGATCCCAAGTAACAATTTAGAAAATTTGAAGTGAGCTCTCTCAATAACTTGTAGATTTGTAAAACCCCAAATCTCACATCCATACAATAATATAGGTTTAACGATTTTATCATACAAATCATAAATACATTGATTAGAGAGGTTATACAACCTTCCCTTTTTTTAAACATCATACATTGCAATAGTTGCTTTTTTAACGTTGTAATTTTTAGCTTCATTAAAGGAACAGGTGCGAGAAAAAACAGTGCCCAAGTATGTGAAGCTTTTGACAATTTCTATCTCCTCTGTATCAAATTTAAAATGAAATTTTACAATTTGAACTTACAATTTGCATTTAGCAAGAATGTTATTGTTACCGTTAAATAAATGAACACCTGAAATGTTACATCAAGCTTGGGAGAAAGAAAATCCCTGAATTTATTTATCAAATTGGACCATATATTTTACTTACTGTTATTTAGTTCTCATTTTGGCATTTTTAACAAATCATATTTGATAAATATTGTAAGCACTCTTGATACCTTGCAATTTACAAATGCAATGTTTCTTAGCCCACCATCATAGGATGGTGGGCTGTTCAAATTGCACTATGTCTGTGGTCTGTCTGTAACAATGTTTGTTATCACTTTTTATTGAGATATACTGGATAGATCTTTCTCATATTACATGTGAAGATTCTCCTTGGTCCTTTGTTGTGCTCCTTTGATTTTAGAATTGATCAGAAAAAGAAAATGGTGGACAGGTAGCCATCATTGATTTTGACTTTGCAAGTGTGATATCATCATTTCTTAAGAAGGACTGCATAGATATTCTAAAATTTCATTCATAGGTTCCTCTTGGTCCTAAGTTGTGCCCGTTGGAGTTTTGGACTGATCCAAAATATGAATTGGCTTACAGGCAGCCATCTTGGAGTGTGTGATTTTGCAAGTTTGTAATCACTGCTTTTTGAGAAAGACTGCAAGGATATTTCTCAAATTTCATTTATAGGTTCGTCTTTGTCGCTAGTTGTGCCTGTTGGAGTTTGGGACTGATCAGAGAAAGAAAGTGGCTGACAGGCAGCCATCTTGCATTTCACTTAGTAAAATTTGTTATCCCTATTTTTTGAGAAGTAGGGAATGGATCTCTCTCAAATTTCATACAATGTTACCTTTGGTCTCTTCTTGTGCCCATTAGATTTTTAGACTGATCAGATAAACAAAATGGGTTTCAAGCTACCATCTTGGATTTGGCAGGTATAGATCATCATCGCTATGTCTGCAAATGAATGTTCAAATTTCTAGTCAATAAGAGCAAAAACAGAGAAAGGAAGAGAAAATTAGGGAAAAATCCAACTTTCAAAGAGCAAATAAAGATGAATCAATGGTGGGTGCCAATATCGATCTGAGATCTCTGTTTTACAGATGAGAACTTTTAATGAACCCTTGAAAAATATTTGGATATTGCTTGTTGCTGCCTACACACTTACCAGGTATCTCAGAGCATTCACATGAATTATTTAAGGTTGAATTGTTAAAGTTTTTACATGTATTGATAATTTCAGAGGAGTTTGTGGCCCATGGTGCCAATGTGAATTGCCTTGCTATAGGACACAAGTCCGGCCGGGTGATGGTGACTGGAGGGGAAGACAGAAAGGTCAATTTATGGGCTGTAGGCAAGCCCAACTGTATCATGGTAGGTATTGTATTCTAACAAACTGAGGAGAGATTGACTTCAAGTTCAGTGAACTTGTATAGGTCCTATTTATGTTAGCTTGAAACAAACATCACCAGTAAAGAGCTTGCCTAGTTTAAGTTATTTTGTTATTCCAATTGTTTGAGTAAGTTTGTTTATTCTAAATTTTGACATAAATTACTGCTATATGATTTTTAGGGCTTTACTTAACTGACCATATATGGATAAAAAAGTATAGGCAAGCATTGACTATGATGCTACAAAAAAGTAAAAAATAGACATTTAAACATGTTTTGCTGTTAAAAATATAACTGATAACTGACTTTGATATTTTTGACACTTACATATCATGCCATTAACCTCATTACAGAGTCTGACGGGGCATACAACTCCAGTAGAAGCAGTACGCTTTGGCCATGAAGAGGAAATTGTACTAGCAGGATCAGTGTCAGGAGCCTTGAAAATATGGAACCTAGAAGAAGCAAAAAGTAAGCTGGCATAGAAAAATGTGTTTTCAAAACTCGAGTGATCATGGAGGAAATTGGTTTATTATGGTGTAAATAACACTGCCAAAAGCAACAAAATGATGTGCAAGTGATTTTATGTATCACAGGCAAAAATGTTAGACTGCAGTATCTTTTAATATGGACTTGCGCTTTTCTTTTTGAACACACTGAAATTCCTAGAACCCACTATATCTCTTTGTAACTGGACTTATCAAAATTTTGGAAATGGTGCACTGGAACTAACTGAAAATACCCTCAAAAAGCACAGAAAACCTAGATGTTCGTGACATAACTTACATTGGTGAAAAATTCTGTGTAGAGTTAAGAATTGTGTTTGTGCTATCTTAATCTCCTTACCTTAATATGTATACTCTTATGTGGATGTTTCTTTAAACAATGTTATCTTAAAATAAAATGTGATTTAATTTCTCTGAGCTTATACTATATTTTCAATTTTGGTTTCAGTAATGAGAACACTTACTGGTCACAATTCAAGCATTAAGAGTCTGGACTTCCACCCATTTGGAGACTATGCTGCTTCAGGGTCTATGGACTGCAATATAAAGGTAGGTAGCCTTTGAAGATGGACATAACAAAAAAGGATTTTCAATAACCATCATTAAAAATGTAAACATTGTGAAATTTAGTGCATTCTGCAGCTAGTGAAACTCTGTTGTTGGGACATTTTTTTCTATCTGGGAACTAAGTAGCAAAAAGAAGGTACATATTGAATCAAATGTCATAGAATAGAGAACATTAACTTTGATATTTAGAGGTATTTATCTTAGCTTCTATGTATTCTGTTAATGTCTATGATCTGTATTCTTCCCAGTTGCCAACACCTCTCTCAGTTTGTATTATCTCCCCTTAATGCTTTCCAAATGTTGCATGTAATCTTTATTACCTCTCATTTATGTTGTCTTCCTGTGTAGTTATGGGATATACGACGAAAGGGATGCATCTACACATATAAAGGTCACACAAACTACGTCAACTGTGTACGCTTTAGTCCTGATGGCAAGTGGATAGCTTCAGCCAGTGACGATGGACTGGTGAAGGTAGTGTACAAAACATCACAGGGAATGTACTTAAAATTTATTGTTGAAAAGATTTGGTTTTTGATGAGAATTGGAAAACTAAATTCCAAATAGCCTGTTGTTAATAAAACTCAACAAAAATTATGTTGCTAATAATTGAAAATGTCAATTATATTAATTATGACACATTTGAAATATTTTATTTTCTATACCTATATATTTTAATTTCAGATATGGGACATCACAGCTGGTCGAATGCTGACAGAGCTTTCAGAACACACAGGGCCTGTCAATGTTGTAGAATTTCACCCAAATGAACTGTTGATTGCCTCAGGCAGCTCGGACAGGTTAGTAAAACCATATTAATTTCAACATGGGGATAAGTGTGAAAACATCATGCAAGAAAAACTGTAAAATATTTACAGCTTGTAGAGTGAGAGAAGTGTTTTATATCTTGACTGCAAAAACATATGTCATTATCATTGTTTGTCTGGTTTGACATGATGCTTCATCATTGCTGAAACCTTTTGACATATTAATCCTGTTTCAGAACTGTAAAATTTTGGGACTTAGAGACGTTTAAGATGGTATCAACAACAGACGGAGATTCAACGCCTATCAGGTAGTTCACCCAACAATGAAATACAAATAGTTCAGGAATTTCTAAGCATTATGCCGATTCTTTTTATCAAGCTTAAGTTAATGACACAAGAAAGTGTAGAGAATATAGAAATGTAGATATGAAACAGCAATATGCTTGTTTTACTGTACATTTGGTCCCCAATTCAGTGGATAAAACTTTTTAAAATATGTATTTATAATACAGTGTATCTATTCTCACATTTGAATGCATAGCAAGTATTTGACTCCCAAAAATGAGTTTTGACTCTTTGGATTAAAGGGACGTGTCTGTTCTATATATGTTTTGACCCTTCAGGTCAACTGAATGCTCAGTAAATTTGATATCAGTATTTCTATGTATATTTTTTGAATTTGGTAAACTTTTAAAGAACATTATGCATAGAGCAATACCAAACCATATTCCATCTCATTGGGTTAACATTAGTCTCATTTGATCTTGAATTGTCTTCCTTTCATTCGGAAGCAATGATGTGCAGTGTACCAACCCATCAATTACAGGGTTATTGCCCTTTGTTAAAACTGTTGTGTCCAGGGTAAAGGAACATTCCTAAGATTCACTGATACTACCCCCTCTCCCCCCTTCCTTTTGGTAAATAATCAAATCCTCAAGAACGATAAAGAAATGACTCATTTTATATTAAAGGTGTATCACTGTTGTAATTGATTTTTCAGACGGATATTTTTCCATCCTGAGGGTCAATGTATGTTTAGTGGAGGTCGTGACACAATGAAGGTTTATGGATGGGAACCTGCAAAGTGCTTTGACTCTATCCCAATGAGCTGGGGTGAGGTGGCAGATATAGGGGTGGCTCAGAACCAGCTGGTAAGTGTTATATTGGGGATGGGGGGAGGAAACAAACTCACAGTGGCAGTTTCATTAGTTTTAGAAAAAAACATTATCTTTTTCCACTTGTGTAATTAGATAAAGAGCTTGAAATAACCAAATCATTTACTTGACTGATATGAAAAGTATCTCTCCTTCAATTGATGTCAACATGTATTTCAGTATAAGGTGAACAAAAATGGTACATGCCTTACCTGCAATGGTCAATCTATAAGTTTACCCACTTAGGTCCATTTGTTTGCATTTCACAGTAAGTGCAAGTTCATAATACCTATAAAGAACTGAGGTTTTTAGCTTGCTGCTGCAAATGAAAACAATGTGAAATAACTACAATATCTATTGTCTTTCAGATATGTGCTTCGTTTAGTAAGACAAATGTGTCCAGTTTTGTGGTAGATTTACAGGTATGTAACATTTCAAATATTACGTAGAACAGTTATATATGGTACCTGTATCATGAGTAAATGGAATGATTGTAATGAATTCAGTAAAATATATACAAATTGTGAATTTTATTGTTATTGTTGTGTGAATTGCTTTTCACAATCATGTTCATTAAACATAACAATTATGTTAAACCTTAGTCAGTTCAAACAAATCTAAATAGATATTGATGAACCTGTCAGGAATTTACAGAATTCTATTGTCAGAGTTGACAAAGCACAAAATCACAATAAAGTGTTTAAAAGTGTCCTAGCAAGGCATGAAACTACAGATTGATAATGACATTTTCTCAAGAAAAGAAATGTCATTTACAAAGTATTATCTTTTGAAAAATTTGGATACTGCAAAACTTGTTAATTGACTGTTAAGGAATCACACACTTTTAGTTTGTTCTTCTTCACGCTGGGTATTGCTACAAAGAAATCATGTGAAATGTAGTGAGAAGAAATGCATATATGCTTGTGTGTTGGCAGAAGTTAGAGTTGACATATTAGTATGTTGAGTGTGGATTGAGATTTATGACTACAGATTAATGTTTGTTAAAATCTCTATGACTCCTACTATTATTTATTTGACATAATGAATAGTGACATGATTATCATGTTGAAATGTGAAGTGAAACACTGTTGCACTTTGACAATGAACATTCCAACATTCAGTATAAAAACCTTCTGATTGCTTGTAATACAGAGTTGGGGCCTCAAGTTGTGTCAGCTGGCAAAAGCATGATATTAAGCAAGATGTGACAGGAATCACTCTAATCAATGATAATTAATAGACGTGTATGTGTTTAATTTGGCAGTTGTATATGATGGTCATTTTCAGTCAGCTACCCACAGTGTTTAATGTTATGTGAATAGTGACCACATATAACAGTTATTGTGACCCCAATGCCTTTATCAATAGTGATATGCACAGTCTCACAATATGTTTGAATATTTGAATTGTAAGTGAAACAAGTCAAGAAAGGGTTTGAACTATTACTAGACAGAACATTATTGTTTTTGTTGAAAAAAGATCATGGGTTTGAACTACCTGCCTATTAGAGCTGGCTGAAAGTTTACTGTGCTGTTTGCCTTCATTATAAAGTCATATTCATTTTCAGTTCTGATTGAATTCAATTGTAATGTTTAATTAAATGTTGCAACATTTTATCTGCAGAGAGTGAAGCCTTGTGGCACTGTGCCTCATTCTGATAGTCCTCCCAGTCCTTCTATAGGTGTGACGGCTCATAATCAGTCTAAGTAAGTGTCACATCACATAGATTATTGAAGTGTCACATCACATTATAGATTATTGAAGTGTCACATCACATTATAGATTATTGATGTGTCACATCACATTATAGATTATTGAAGTGTCACATTACATTATAGATTATTGAAGTGTCACATCACATTATAGATTATTGATGTGTCACATCACATTATAGATTATTGAAGTGTCACATCACATTATAGATTATTGAAGTGTCACATCACATTATAGATTATTGAAGTGTCACATCACATTATAGATTATTGATGTGTCACATCACATTATAGATTATTGAAGTGTCACATCACATTATAGATTATTGAAGTGTCACATCACATTATAGATTATTGAAGTGTCATATCACACAATCAGTCTAAGTAAGTGTCACATCACATTATAGATTATTGAAGTGTCACATCACATTATAGATAATTGAAGTGTCACATCACATTATAGATTATTGAAGTGTCACAGTATATTATAGATTATTGAAGTGTCACATCACATTATAGATAATTGAAGTGTCACATCACATTATAGATTATTGAAGTGTCACATCACACAATCAGTCTAAGTAAGTGTCACATCACATTATAGATTATTGAAGTGTCACATCACACAATCAGTCTTAGTAAGTGTCACAGCACATTATAGATCAATGAAGTGTCACATCACATTATAGATAATTGAAGTGTCACATCACATTATAGATAATTGATGTGTCACATCACATTATAGATTATTGAAGTGTCACATTACATTATAGATTATTGAAGTGTCACATCACACAATCAGTCTAAGTAAGTGTCACAGCACATTATAGATAATTGAAGTGTCACATCACATTATAGATTATTGAAGTGTCACATCACACAATCAGTCTAAGTAAGTGTCACATCACATTATAGATTATTGAAGTGTCACATCACACAATCAGTCTTAGTAAGTGTCACAGCACATTATAGATCAATGAAGTGTCACATCACATTATAGATAATTGAAGTGTCACATCACATTATAGATAATTGATGTGTCACATCACATTATAGATTATTGAAGTGTCACATTACATTATAGATTATTGAAGTGTCACATCACACAATCAGTCTAAGTAAGTGTCACAGCACATTATAGATAATTGAAGTGTCACATCACATTATAGATTATTGATGTGTCACATCACATTATAGATTATTGAAGTGTCACATCACATTATAGATAATTGAAGTGTCACATCACATTATAGATTATTGAAGTGTCACATCACATTATAGATTATTGAAGTGTCACATCACATTATAGATTATTGAAGTGTCACATCACATTATAGATTATTGAAGTGTCACATCACACAATCAGTCTAAGTAAGTGTCACATCACATTATAGATTATTGATGTGTCACATCACATTATAGATAATTGAAGTGTCACATCACATTATAGATTATTGAAGTGTCACAGTATATTATAGATTATTGAAGTGTCACATCACATTATAGATTATTGAAGTGTCACAGTATATTATAGATTATTGAAGTGTCACATCACATTATAGATAATTGAAGTGTCACATCACATTATAGATTATTGAAGTGTCACATCACATTATAGATTATTGAAGTGTCACATCACATTATAGATTATTGAAGTGTCACATCACATTATAGATTATTGAAGTGTCACATCACACAATCAGTCTAAGTAAGTGTCACATCACATTATAGATTATTGAAGTGTCACAGTATATTATAGATTATTGAAGTGTCACATCACATTATAGATAATTGAAGTGTCACATCACATTATAGATTATTGAAGTGTCACATCACACAATCAGTCTAAGTAAGTGTCACATCACATTATAGATTATTGAAGTGTCACATCACATTATAGATAATTGAAGTGTCACATCACATTATAGATTATTGAAGTGTCACATCACACAATCAGTCTTAGTAAGTGTCACATTACATTATCAGTATAAGTAAGTGTCACAGCATATTATAGATCAATGAAGTGTCACGACACATAACAAGTCTAAATAAATATGATTTAAGAACAGGCTTAAAATAAGAAATTCAATGGGAGTAATCATACTATGTGACTCAGAGAGTAACGGAGTGTGTATACTGAGGCATGAATCTTGGTGTTGACTGACGACTCTTTCTGATATAGGTGTATTAGTCCACAATCTGAGTTATTTATTACATGTAGGTGTATCTTGTACATGATTTAGTATTTTACAAGATTAATTGATTAAATTATTACAGAGCTATATTTGTTCATTCCGAGTATTACCTCAGTTTGTATAAGAAATAACCAACTGAATAGTAATAAAGGAGAGTACTGTGGAATGACATCGGTTCTGTGGTCTCTAGGTAATGCACTGATAGAAGTTACATAAATGTGCATACTTAGCAGTGATAGAATTTATACAAAATATCATTACACATAGATTAAACCGTTTACTCTTGATAAAAAACAATAAACAAAATTGGTTGAATTAGCAAAATTTTCTAACCTGTTAGTACAGATCATTTTTGGCCTTAGAATGATCTTTATATACAGCATTGACTAGCACTTTTTGTATTTGAAGGTTTGTACTAATTAAGTTTCTTTATTTGTCTGTGGTATTGTGTCATTTGATCCTTTGCTCTTACATGCTGATATTATTGTTTTAGGAGCAGTAGTGGTAGAAGGAGTTTCATCACAGAACGACCTCCCACCTCATCAACAAGACAGGCAAGGTATGTTCTGTTAAAATTTTGTAAAAATTTTGTTAAAGGAAAAAACTAGCAAAAGAATGAACTTTCAAATTTGATAAAAAAGATTCCAAAATGGCCAGGAAATATACATGTAATAATTGTGAATAGGAAATATTTTAATCTGAAAGAAATAAAATTCCCATTTTAATGAGCATGTTTAAATATGTTCAGACCCTATTTATGAGGTCTGCTATTGCATGTTACCACTGACAGAATTTTACATTACAGTGTACCTAAAGAAGAGGCTGAAGAACCAACACATGACAAGGATGATGGATCAGATGAATCTGTTGCAGACATACAGAACCCCAAAGACTACCAGAGCATATTCCAAACAAAGTCCAAGATCTCACGCTCTCCCACTAGGCAGTCACCCTTCATGCCACCTCCTGAGGATGGTATGTGTAAAACAGGATGTAAGCTAGATAGGTTACTCCGCACTTATATGATGGTCACAGGGAAAAAACGAAGAGGGGGGAGTAATAGTCAATATTTGAAATGGGAAGTCCTGAGGGTAACAAGGGGAAAAATGGGAGTCTGTATTTGAAAAGAACTAAGATGGAAGGCATATCCCTGGTTAAGTACATAGAAAATATTTGATGATTTCCTAAAATATCATATATATTTCACAAGTATGACAGAGTATAGGTATTTTGCATAAGCGCCATGAGTGAAATATATGAAATATTAAAGAAAATAATTGATTTTTAGCTAACCACCCGTAGATCATTAAATGATGGAATGTTCTAATCAGTCTCCATGGTTCATCGTCTGTCCTTAAACAATTCTTGTTATTGGTTTTCTAAGAGAAGTGTTTGATGCATTGTTCATAATAACGTATGTAGGTCCCCTATATTCTCATGTTGTGCATTGTCTGTTTTGGAAGTGAAAGAGAATTAATATGGCTAACAAGTGGATTTTGACAGCTTCAGATTATTTTCACTGAGAGATATAAAATAGATCATTTTTCAATTTTAATATGTAGGTAGCCCTTTCTCCCCAGCTATCTATTTTGGGGACAGAATATAATGGCTGACAGGAACCAGTCTGGGAATGAAAAAGTTATGTTTGTTATCTCCAATTCTTATATATCACCAAGATCCCCTCAAGGGATCTAATAGCTTTGATAATCACTAGATATAAAATCTATTTACTTTTCTAGATTTCTATCAAATATTTGTTGCTGTGTTATATACAGGTCAACCCGATGTATTCCCTGTACATCAGCCAGCTCCTACTCCAGCCCCAGCCACACAGCGGACAAAGCCAGTCTCCAAGACTACCAGCAAACCAAGTACTGTTTCCAAAACACCAAGTGCAACTCCAGTTGTCAAACCTCAAGTGTCTAATTCTACTCCAAAGCCTAACCCAACACCAGTACCACCACCAAAAGAGCCTGATCCTGTACCTGGAATTGCTGCAGAAGACTTCTTACCTGTAAGATAATATGGTGAATCAAAAGAAAACATCAGTTTTCATAATCATTTTAAAGTTGCAGTCTTCAAAGCTTCAGTCATTAATTGTGAAAACTAGAGGGAACTTTCGGTGAAACTGAACAAATTGCATATTTTGATATCATATAATTTACTAAAATCTCTCTTGTTTCATTAATTTAACTTTGAATGTGAAGAAAATGTGAAAGTTACTCCTATGTCTGAAGTTTTACACTTGAGATAATAGAATTGAAAGTTAACTGATAAACCTTTTCGTTCCTGCTAATCCGATGCTGGGTTAGAAATGGACATGGGGAAACTTAAGGAAACATGTATATTTCAGAAAAATGGCTCGGCAGCAAGTGGAGAGCCCGATGAGGACACTGTTATTGGTGCTGTTTCCAAAGGACATGGTGCAATGGCACAAGTGATGTCAAGTCGCAGTAAAAACATACAGATTGTGAGAGCTATGTGGACCAGTGGAAATACCAAGGTCAGTGTGACAAATTCTAGTGCTTGGCATAGTGATTACCAAAGATATTGATGTAGGTATCTGTGATATGTACAATATTGTACAATCATGAAATTCAGTCAGATAGATCATTGTGCAATTAGCAAAGTTAGTTTGACAGATCCCTGTTATGTCTTCAATCAGCAAAGTTCCTGTAATGCTTCTTCTAATTTAAATACAAGCAATTAAAAATTTTGCTCCAGACACAAAATATTAACACAGGGCAATAGCTCTGTATTAAAGGGGTTGCAGGCCTGAATTGGGTACACTACACGTCATCATTTGTATGATCAATGTACATACCAAGTTACGTTATCCTAGTGTGTACTCAAACAAATTTATGCTCCCTTAGTATGACTTATGTATACATCGAGTTTCATGATCCTTGTTAAACTAGGCAAAATTATGCTTTTGACAGACAGACTAACAAAGTGGCGACTATATGCTCTTCCAAAAATTATAACAATACTGTTTAGTTTAGGTTTTAAAGTTCAAATCAAATACATTTCTTTTTCTCTTCTTTTAGTCCAGCAAATGTATTTTATTAGATATATTAAACCTAAAGATTATTGTTAAAGAACTGTAGCGACTACATGGAGATCTCCCATACAATTACGACGTCACACAATCACTCTTGTTATGACGTCATAGATAATGTATCTAACCAATTTATCAAACATCATGAAGATTCAGGAATGAAAGCGCTAAGGCTTAATTTGATCTGTTGTTTGAGGTTAATTATATATATTTACCATAGTTGCTGAACATCTCATCCCTTTAGACAGGCAACATTTTTGATGGTTGATAAAGTGAGATAAAATCAAATTTCAGTTATGTTCTGTAGGATAAAAAAGTGTATTAAATGAAATCAAGTATGTTGCTATGTGAATAATGATTCAGGAAATTATATCTATCCAAACACCTCACAAGGGAGTATATTTCCTGTTTTACAGACTGCTGTCGACTCTGCCATTAGTATGAATGACCTAGCTGTATTAGCAGATTTATTTAATGTTCTTAACCTCAAATCGTAAGTATGATATTTTAAATTAAAGTCTGTCCATTATTTAATGTTTTAACTATTGATTATTGTAAAGACGGTATCAAGGCATATTGGTGAAAATGTGATATTAAAATGTTGATATATCATGCAAAGTGACACTGAATTGTGTAAGTGTTAAAGATAGGAAATTGGTGAAAATGTATGTGGTTATGAGTTAAGATTGGATATGGTTTGGATGTAGTTAATTGATTATGTTACCGACTGACTGTGTATTCAATATTTATAGAAAGTGAATGCATTCTTCATTGCAGTTATATTTTCTTTTTTCAGTAATTTTAACATTAATTAACTTTTCTTACCTAAAATTCATACAAGAATGAATATTATTGACAATTACTTCTTTATTATGCATAGTAAGAATTTTGCTTTTGCTAAAACACAAGAAGATATTAAAGTGCTGATGATCATTGTGAAAATTATGACTGATCTTTGCATCAAATGAAGTAAAACAATTGAATACCTGATTATATCGGATCGTGGTCTGTCACAAACAAGTATGAAATGTGTGTAATTGTATCAAAAGTTCTTTTTGAGAAAGTTTGAACTGAGACATTTTCTGGGCCCCTTTTCTGCATGATAAGTGTATAAATATTTTGTGCCTGTTTCACTTTACTTGTCTGTATTTTGAAGGGGACTCTGGAGTCTAGATCTATGTGCTACCTTACTGCCTCACATCAAAGATTTGCTGAAGAGTAAATATGACAGGTACATATCAAACCTTCATTATAAGGTTATAAAAGACAAGAGCAGACCATTGATATATACAAAAATTTGAAAACAAGTAGACCAGAAAAGATTTAAATTCCATTTACTGCATATTATTGATGTAAATCAGTTTGACTTTCTTCCTGTAAATAATACATAAAAAGTCTATATGACATTCTATTTATCATTTAATTCATATTTCTGAAGAAAAAAAATATTTGAAGAAACTTTTTTATTTTCCAATTAGATAGGCTTATTCTATCACAGATGATACAATTTATACTGCTGGGACAATTTGTGATGTCACAATGGCATGACTTATTTGTGATCTCACAAAGGCATGACTTGTTTGTGATGTCACAATAGTGTTGTTCCATTTATGTCTTACATCATTTATCACGGCCATAAGACAAAACACAGTAGGTCAGCTATGTGATAAATGATCATATAGCAGTTAAATGTTCACTATAGAATTGGGTATGGTTCATGGTCGGTCAACACCTAAGGTTTGATCACTGGGACATTCAAGGTGGCCATCATGGTTCCTTGATTAAAAATGTTCTCTGAAATTGGATATTGACATAGAGACAGGACCATCACTAGCAGGTAACACCAAACAAAATTTGTGTACTTTTCAGAGAGATAGTCTGTTTTTAGGACCTGTCTCAGGTTAATAATGATTTGTTATGATGAAATTTTCTTTTATCAGTCATGGCAAGTACAACATCAGTTTTGTTTTATAAAAGTCTAATTGAATCGAATTTTAATTTGATATTGTTATTAATTCATACCTACCTTTTACTTGACAGTTATGTTATGACAGCCTGTAATTCCTTAAAAATTATCCTGAGAAACTTCGGGCCTGTGATTAAATCAAATCTAACTGCTCCCCCATCAGTGGGTGTTGATATCTCACGAGAGGAGAGGTAAGTCATCTTAATTGTTGTCTGTTGTATACCACAATAGAGTCAGGAATAGTGGCTGGTGTTTACCACAATCAGACTACAATAGAGTCAGGGATAGGGAGTGGTGTATACCACAATAAACACAGTGATAGGGGCAGTGTATACCACAATTATACCACAATAGAGTCAGGGATAGGGAGTAGTGTATACCACAATAGACACAGTGATAGGGGCAGTGTATACCACAATTATACCATAATAGTCAGGGATAGGGAGTAGTGTATACCACAATAGACACAGTGATAGGGGCAGTGTATACCACAATTATACCACAATAGAGTCAGGGAAAGGGAGTGGTGTATATCACAATAGACACAGTGATAGGGGCAGTGTATACCACAATTATACCACAATAGAGTCAGGGATAGGGAGTAGTGTATACCACAATTATACCACAATAGACACAGTGATAGGGGGCAGTGTATACCACAATTATACCACAATAGAGTCAGGGATAGGGAGTAGTGTATACCACAATAGAATCAGTAATAGCGGCTAGTGTATACCACAAGTATACCACAATAGACACAGTGATAGGGGCAGTGTATACCACAATAGACACAGTGATAGGGGCAGTGTATACCACAAGTATACCACAATAGAGTCAGGGATAGGGAGTGGTGTATATCACAATAGACACAGTGATAGGGGCAGTGTATACCACAAGTATACCACAATAGAGTCAGTGATAGGGAGTGGTGTATATCACAATAGACACAGTGATAGGGGCAGTGTATACCACAAGTATACCACAATAGAGTCAGGGATAGGGAGTAGTGTATACCACAATTATACCACAATAGAGTCAGGGATAGGGAGTAGTGTATATCACAATAGAATCAGGAATAGTGGCTGGTGTTTACCACAATCACACTAGAATAGAGTCAGGGATAGGGAGTGGTGTATACCACAATAGACACAGTGATAGGGGCAGTGTATACCACAATTATACCACAATAGACACAGTGATAGGGAGTAGTGTATACCACAATAGACACAGTGATAGGGGCAGTGTATACCACAATTATACCATAATAGTCAGGGATAGGGAGTAGTGTATACCACAATAGACACAGTGATAGGGGCAGTGTATACCACAATTATACCACAATAGAGTCAGGGATAGGGAGTAGTGTATACCACAATAGACACAGTGATAGGGGCAGTGTATACCACAAGTATACCACAATAGAGTCAGGGATAGGGAGTATTGTATACCACAATTATACCACAATAGAGTCAGGGATAGGGAATGGTGTATACCACAATAGACACATTGATAGGGACAGTGTATACCACAAGTATACCACAATAGAGTCAGGGATAGGGAGTAGTGTATACCACAATAGACACAGTGATAGGGGGCAGTGTATACCACTAGTATACCACAATAGAGTCAGGGATAGGGAGTAGTGTATACCACAATAGACACAGTGATAGAGGGCAGTGTATACCACAATTATACTACAATAGAGTCAGGGATAGGGAGTAGTGTATACCACAATAGACACAGTGATAGGGGGCAGTGTATACAACAATTATACTACAATAGAGTCAGGGATAGGGAGTAGTGTATACCACACTTATACCACAATAGAGTCAGGGATAGGGAGTTGTGTATACCGCGATAGACACAGTGATAGGGGGCAGTGTATACCACAATTATACTACAATAGACATAGTGATAGGGGGCAGTGTATACCACAATTATACCACAATAGAATCAGGGATAGGGACTGGTGTATACCACAATTATACCACAATAGACACAGTGATAGGGGCAGTGTATACCACAATTATACCACAATAGAGTCAGGGATAGGGAGTAGTGTATACCACAATAGAGTCAGAGATAGGGGACAGTGTATACCACAATTATACTACAAAAGAGTCAGGGATAGGGAGTATTGTATAACACAATAAAGTCAGGGATATTGAGGTGTATATACCACAATTATACCACATTAGACTCGGGGATAGCAAGTGATGTATACCACATGCTTTAGGCCTTTGAGGTCTATTTCCTATCAAACTGTTTTGGTTAAATTTGATTTGGTAAATAACTTTGGAAATTTAAGTAATCTGAAGATTGTTTAGAAAATTTACAATGAACCAGTGAAAGAAGGGCTTTGTATAGTGTATGTTGTCTTGATATGAGATCAGATTTTATCCTATTTTGGATACAATAAGACCATTTCTGTGTTTATTTGTTATTAATCCTGTTAATCAACTAACCATTTCACTGATGTTCCAAATTTATTAGGTTGTAAACAACATGGGTACAAATATTTCATTTTATGATTTGGGACCATTTAGAGAGTAAGTACCTAATGGAGAGCTGTTGAGATAATACTTGGTTGGGTCTGTCTGTTCATTATCTTGTGCAGGCTCTATCTTATATACTATTGGTGAGGTGGTAATTGCTTTGCATTTAATTTCACATTAAGTGGTGACTGTAATTTGCAAAATGGTCTGGATTCAATTAATGTTTAAACTGGAAACAAAATGTACTTTCTCACGTTAAGCTGTCTTGTAACATGAAATTAAGAAAAATGCATTATACCGGTGGAATACCAAAATAAGAGTGACCTTTCATTAGGATTGTCTGGGGAGGACTAAACTGGCTCGAGATCATCAATGATAGTTGTTTTTGTTTTTATGTTATGTTTAACTGCAACGAAAAGATTGTGTTCTCAGAAACAAACTTGGCAAATAGATTTAATAGGGGTTGTCCAGAAGTGATTGAATGGAAGACACAGTTAATGTTCTACTTTCAGTTTCTGATTTAATTTACTTTGATGAGTGATCTCCCTTTTCTCCCATACCATTAAATTTGGAATATTTCTAATCTGTTCCATTTTGTTTTAGAATTAATACTGATATTTGATGCATGTTTCTGATTTCATTCTAGGTATAGGAAGTGTAATGCCGCATATAGTGTTATTTTACAAATTAGAAGTGACATGGACAAGAGAAAGAACCTTCAGGGGAAAGTTGGCACTGTTTGGCGTGAACTACAAATCCTTATGAACAACTTGGAATAGATCACTGGAAAAGCATTTAAACCATTACATTTGCAAACCCTGTCTCAGCACAAACATGTCATTTATGTAACATAACATGTGAGACAGAGCGATGCTAAATTCCAAAACTGTTGTATTGTGGAAAGCAACTGCATCGATACTTGAAATTAAATTGCTAGACACATGTTATTGTGGAACAGAAGGGAGACAACTGTTAATATATTCCATACCAGAAGTGTTACAGCCTTAATTGGTGTTTTACAACTAAGAGGTGTTACAAACAAATGGCAAAACATTCAGGGAAAAATGAATATTCTGTGAACTACAAGTCTCATTAACAATTTATGTGAGGTGACCAGCATATTTGATCCGTTATGATTCATATGACTGTCTCAGCACAGAATTTACTTGTGTTAAAATGTTTGTGAGACTTTATGGAACAGTACTAAGTTCCAACATTGTGTTACCATGGATTATTTATGATATACCTTAGTGCTAGGTTGTGTTGTGCAACATTAACATATGGGAGACAACTCTTACATATAAATTCTACACAGAAGGTTAAGAAGACATCATAGACTGTTTGATCAGCCTGATGTATAAATCCCCTGTTTGTGATATGTATAGTAATCATTGTCCAGCATTGAGAAGGACTACATATATTGGCGATTAAGTGAGGATTAGGATTGGTCAGTACTACATGTCCTAAAATGAGATGGACAACAAGGAGATGCGTTAGATTGATCCATCGTTAGGGAGTTTATCATGATTGGTGAAGTACTGCATGTGTTGAGATCTTCATCAGGAGATGCATTGTGATTGGTCAGAACTGTGCTTTACCTGCCATAGGCCCACATTACATCATCGTTGCTGGGTGTATTGTTTAACTCTAGATATATCCTTTAAAAGCTTATTTTCAGATGTGATACTTTGTTGTCCGAGGTGACTGAACATGATGCATTGGGTTTACCAATGGTGAGACAGTTTGTGCCTGTGTGTATAATGGTGGTCTACAAAATGAGTTAAGGCATAAATATTGTATTAACACCACAGTGACAAGCCTTATCTCACTTTTAGCAATAATTGTGGAGTGAGCATATCTGTGTATGGTAATGCACTGTGTATTTGTGTATGTAACACAGTGTATATTTAGGTATACAAGCATGCTCAGGAGGCCTTTAGTCAGGAATTTCTTATACTTTGGTCTTTATGTTGATCTGTATTTTCACAAAATTCTGTGGGTTTGGATCTTGACTGCTGACAATCTAGCTGTTGGATGTGATAATTGATGCTAGTGTTACTGATAAAGCTATCGTTTCTTTGTAGTGGTATGGTCTGAAGTTTACAGCCTAATGACAAACAATAAATGATGGATCTTCCCCAAACACAAGAGCACCCAAGCTTGCCTTATAAAGGGGTCTCCCACTTTTTAGCCCACCATCATTCGATGGTCTTAAGGTTATTGTGAATTTGTAAGGCCAGTGGTTTAAGAAGTGCAAAACTATAAGAATTTTCATAACAGTTCAGCTATTTTCTGAAATAAGTATTTCTGCACAGAAAAGACAGAAAAAAATATGAAATCCCTTTACCCCTGGCACAGTTGATGATATACTAATTAAAGGGGACATGTCAGATAAAACAAATGCTTAATCTCTTAGTGTTTATGGCAACTGATGACATGTGATTCTACACAATTTCTGAACAATTAAGACTCATTTCATTACCAACACATTCCTGCTATAAATGAATAGATTAATGAATATTTTACAGAAACTATTAAAGTGATCCATATAGTTAAGATATAGCAAGAGTTTAAAAAGCTGTGCTGGAGAGAAATTTATCTTTGCTTAAATGTATTACTTGATTCTTTTACATTTGATACATACGTTTTACTTTGCTTTCCTCACATTCTTTCTGAAATCTTAATTGAAAACATTACTGTAGTTATAGTGATGGATTCTAGAGTGTGCCTTTATATTTAGACACTGGTGTGTCACAGTTACCTCCCCTGAAAGTAAAGGTGTCATTACATTAAACATACAGGACATTAAAAAGACATTTTAATTCCAAAATTTTACAAGTTCTCTAATGTCTATCATCAAATACCAGTGTATCAGTGCTAACTGTATGGAAATGACATGAATTGGGTGATATGTTGGGACCTCTTATAAAATACCATACTGGTGTCTGTATAACTGCCTGTTTTTACATCTTTATATCGAACTTCTAAGCAATAATCAGTTCAACAAAGTAAGTATACAAAGTATACTATATTTGATTGTTGTACCTGGGTAAGAGAAAGGTAAAGTGTTGAGGGAAAATTAAATAATTACTTGTGATGTTAAGTGATGTCATTTATCAGATAAGTTATGTAGTTGATATAGATATATTCAGGTGGTTGGAAGAAAAATAATCTCTCTTTTTTAAATAATTCCATTTTTGTGTCATTGTATCTCCAATATAGAAATGTTTTTGAATCATTATAAAGGAAAGAATGTAATAATGCTGATAAGCCATGCAAGGAACACCATATAAAATCACAGTATATCGTATATTTCATGTCAACAGATACCTGTAGCATTCAGTCATATCAACATTTACCAATAGGACCATTTGTATGTATGAGACAATATGTTGTTAAAGTAAGTGTGAATCTGTTTATCACTTTTATGAATGAAAGTCAGATTTTTTTTTTAAAGATTCCATCTGCTTAGCTAGGGATTTAAAGTGATCTGCACCTATTTGCATGGAAATTGCCACTATTTACATTTTTGCCAAATGTTGATTTCTTTATATAATGTGTAATGTTGAAATGTTGAAATGTAAGGTTGTGTGATTTTGATTTTTTTTCTTTTTTGCTTCTCAAATCACTGAACCCTTCTTTTAAGTTGATGCTTATCTCAGCAATGTGCTGTTTGTTTTGCTTTATCAAACTGAATATAAGTATATCTATTTAAACTTTAAGAGAAATAAAATTATATCAGTTTGGTTTATTTTTTGAAGTGGTAAAAACTAAGAAACAATACAAAATGTGTATAATTGTGAAAATTTACCTCCCTTAGATGCTAAACAATTTCCTAATAATTTAGTATATTATCTGTGTTTCAGTTTGTGATTACAGGCCATCCTGTACTTTTGTGGTTATGTCCTTGGGCAAAACATTTTATCCCAATTGATTATAATAGTATGTGAGACAGAGCAGTGATAAATTCCAAAACTGTTGTATTGCAGAAAATCACTGCATCAATACATGAAATTAAATTACTTTAATCACACTTCTGCATGTTGTTCAGTAGGGTAGCCACCAGCTTTCACAAGGAGACTTAGCCTCATAATGATTGATCCTTGCTATTTACAGGGTGATAAACCCTGCAAACAAAACACCAGTATACTTTTGATTGTCAGTTATCCACAGTGGGGACTAGTTACTTCCCTTTAACATGTTAAATAATTATACAGATTCTTTAATTATGCTTTTATTTCTCATTCATAAAACTACCTTTTAATTGGATGTTTAATAACAACTCCATTATCAGCTGTTCAAATGGCCCTTTACATTTGTATACCTTCTCAGCATGTGAGTTACTGGCTGGATACTTATCAAACATCAGTTAGCTCCCCTTGATCAAAAGTTGTGCTAGCACAATGATACTGACAAGTAATGGCCAAACTAACCCTAATAGAATGATGTCCAAAGTGAAATACTTTTTATACAGTGTATGCTAACTGCATATATATTAGTGACAAAAATTAATGAATTTCATGGTTGCTTGTCAGCTGTATACTCTTTTTTTTTTTTTTTTTTTTAAATAAAACTGAAATTAATAAAAATCCCTGGAAATGATGCCATAAGACAACACCAAGATCCTTGGATATTTCCAGATAAATGGATGTACACATAATTAAAGTAACAAGGTGTCAGAACCTTTATAAAATGATTGAGAATACAAGGTATTCCATTTTGGGTACCTCATATGCTGAAATTCAAAATGCAAACTTGCTTTATAAATGGACTTTCTGAATAGCCACATGTACTTCTAAATTTACAACCAGTCAGAGCAACAAGAAAAGGAGTCTTAGATCAATAGATAGGCAGTAGGATATAATGTCACACAGCAAAATTATATCATTGACTGGAGACTTCAAAGTAGTATATAGAGAAAACAATCTTTTTAAGTGACAAGCAAACCATCTTGATACGCTGCAGAGGACTGGTACATATACAGGGATGAGGGGGCCCATATACTCTCATTGTAGAATAGATTATTATGGGACAGTACATTGTTACTGCCTTATGTACATATGGAAGATCACCAAATCAGCCTGTTTTCACTATAATCTTATTGCCATCTCGTCACACTACTTTCTACGTTAGTGTACTTATGATTATACTTCCGCCAAAATATCCTTTTATTATATTACCATCTTCATTCTGGTCATTTGTCTGATAATGTGTTATCATAGTAATGTCACACATGACTGGTTGTTACATAAGAACATGTATTTAATATCTAATATTTCTTTAACTACATAGAAAAGTATAGTATTTTTCAACAAATTGTAGTGATACAGGTGAAAGATAACCAAAACCATTCTTCATATTAATTCATACAACAAACCGATGATCCAGCAATAAAAAAATACCATTTTTTTTAAAAGTTTCACCTAAAAGCTGTCAGCAATAACATCCACATATACATTACTATTAAAAACAAAATGTCTATTTAGAATTGATCTGTTATGACTAGACTGAAGTCTTATGCATAAATACTATATACACATATGTAGCCACTGGGATAGATTTATTCAAAGTGCATTCCATCTTCACTGTGATAGGTACCCCTGCTTCTTTGATTGGGGATGGGGGATACTGAAAAACAGAAATTAAAATTAATAATAACATAATACTGCAAACATTTTATTTAGTACAGACTGGAATGAGGTGAATAAATTTTGTTTACCTTGAAAATAATTAATTCTGATTGGGTTGAGGTGCTATTTTTACATCCATATCTTGGTAT